GGTCCATAATAGTCTACCATGTCCTGTGCCACTCGTACCAGCCTTGTATTTGTGGTAGGCTCAGGTGTGTGCTATCAGTGGTAGAGTCTCTCAGAGCTTGAGTCTCACCCGTATAGGAAGTCTCTTACTAGAAGTGAAGTGATTGAACTTTACTGAAAGACAAAAACAATGTATTAGAAAAATGTACATTTCACCAATGTTGTATTTTGAATTACTGCAATTTGCAGTTAGTAATGCAGTTAGTAAACAGTGCAATTTACATTATTTCCTAGAGCAAAAAAATGTATTTCTAGCAGCCAAGGTAGACCAGCCCACTATTTCAGTCACAAAACTGTAAAGCAGAATTTAGGTAGGCTCTTGTTATATCAAGTTCCCTGGTAGTGAATTGACAAGGAAGAGTGGCAGGATTGTCACCTGGTTCAGGAAATGAAATCAAAACTTAGGGTGTTCACACCTGTGAGCAGGACTCCACAGTGCTCGCTTGCTTTCTTTTTTTTTTTTAGAAATAGCAGTTTGACACACATTTAATGCAGAAGCTTCTGAAAATTACAGAAAAGCAAAAACTGCAAAATTTAAATCACCCATGACCCCAGGAGTCCAAGGACCACACCTGACACTGTACTGTCATCCTTTATCCCTTCCTCTCTATACATAGTATTTTTATTGTTAAGACTGGTACAGTGTTATATGCTGTGCTTTCCTCCTTACTATATCTTTTTAAAATATATTTTGATTATTCTATTACACTTATCCCATTTTCCCCTCTTCACTCCCTTCCACCCCCCTCCCACCCACATTCTCCCCTTTAGTTCATGTCCATGTGTCATACTTATAAGTTCTTTAGCTTCTACATTTCCTATACTATTCTTACCCTCCCTCTGTCTATTTTCTACCTACCATCTATGCTACTTATTCTCTGTACCTTCTCCCCATCTCTCCTCCTCCCACTCCCCTCTTGCTAATCCTCCATGTGATCTCCATTTCTGTGGTTCTGTTCCTGTTCTAGCTGTTTGCTTTGTTTTTGTTTTAGGTGTGGTTGTTAAAAATTATGAGTTTGCTGTCATTTTATTGTATATGTTTTTTATCTTCTTTTTCTTGGATAAGGCCCTTTAACATTTCATATAATAAGGGCTTGAAGATGATGAACTTTTTTTTTTTATCTTTAGAGGGGAAGGGAAGGAGAGAGGGAGAGAAACATCAATGTATGGTTGCCTTTCGTGCATCCCCTGCTGGGAACTGGCCTGCAGGGAATCGGCCTGCAACCCCGGTATGTGCCCTGACTGGGAATCGAACCGTGATTGTCTGGTTCGCAGGCCCGCACTCAATCCACTGAGCCACACCAGCCAGGGCGAACTTTTTTAACTTGACTTTATCTGCCCTTCCATTCTAAATGAAAGCTTTGCTGGATAGAGCAATCTTGGATGGAGGTCCTTGCCTTTCATGACTTGGAATACCTCTTTCCATCCCCTTCTTGCCTGTAAGGTCTCTCTTGAAAAATCAGCTGACAGTCTGATGGGAACTCCTTTGTAGGTGACTGTCCTTTTATCTCTTGCTGCTTCTACAATTCTCTCCTTCATTTTAATCTTGGCTAATGTAATTATGATGTGCTTTCGTCTGTTCCTCCTTGGGTCCAACTTCTTTGGGACTCTCTGAAGCCTCCTGGATTTCCTGGAAGTCTATTTTCTTTGACAGATTGGAGAAATTTTCCTTTATTATTTGTTCAAATAATTTTTCCACTTGTTGCTCTTCCTCTTCTCCTTCTGGTACCCTTATAATTTCGATGTTGGAACATTTAAAGATGTCCTAGAGATGCCTAAGCCTCTCCTCATTTTTAAAAAGTCTTGTTTCTTCATTCTTTTCTGATTGGCTGTTTCTTTCTTTTTTCTAGTCTGCACTGTTGATTTGAATCCCAGTTTCCCTCCCATCACTATTGGTTCCCTGTACATTTTCCTTTATTTTACTTAGGATGGCCTTCATTTTTTCATCTACTTTATGACCACATTCAACCAATTCTGTGAGCATCCTGATCACCAGTGTTTTGAACTGTGCGTCTGATAGGTTGGCTATCTCTTTGTCTCTTAGCTGTATTTTTTCTGGAGCTTTGATCTGTTCTTTTGTTTGTGCCTCTTTTTTTTTTTGTCTTGATGCACCTGCTACGTTGTAAAAGGCGAAGCCTTAGGTGTTCACCAGGGCGGGGCAACACACATCACTGGGTTGTGATGCTGTGTGGGGGGGAGGGGTCTGAGAGGGTACAATGGCACTTGCTCCACTCTCTACCGGATTTTAGTCACTTCCCCTGCTTCCCCCAAGCAAACTGGGCTCTTCTGGTTATGATTCCCATATTGGTTGGCTTGTGTTGTACCATCTAGGACCCTGTGGGTCTCTTAAATGAACTCTCCTGTGAGGTTGGGAGTCTCTCCTGGCACCTCAACGCCCACAGGTGTTTTCAATTGGTGGTTCGAGGCTTTATTTACTGGCGCTGGGACCCTGGGTTGCACCATCTGTCTCGTTCTTCAATTTCGCCTGGTTTATCTGCATGCGAATGTGGGACTGCCCAGTTCGCCGGCCACCTTGTGCGCTGGGCCCCTGCACAATCCACTGCCTCACTGGGTCTGCCAGCCACCACTCTTTTTGCACTGACCCCTCTCTGCCCGGCCACCTGACTCCGCCCTTCCTACTGGTCTGGATGAATATGTCTTGTGGAACTCCTTGGTTGTTGGACTTCCATACAGTTCCATTTTCTGGCAGTTCTGGTTATTTTTGTTTTTAAATTTGTTGTTGTTCTTATTTTGGTTGTGCAAGGAGGGAGGCACAGTATATCTACCTATGCCTCCATCTTGGCCGGAACTCCTCCACAGTGCTTTCTGACATAATCATCAGACCTCATCTGAGAACCAGTCATTCTCTACCTGTCCTAGAATGAAATTGAATTCAGGAAAACATTTTTAGTAAAAGACATAATTCCTCTTATAGTTTAGATGAGGAGATAAATTTATAAGTAGATAATTTGAGGGAAAATATAAATTTAGAGAGACTGAAAGGTTTTATGAGTACTCTGAAAAAGGTAACTTTTCTCTATTAAAGAAAAAAGACATGGTTCTAAGACTATATTGGAAGAGATAGCTGATAAAGTTTTGACATCAGATGTAAGTGTAAAGATAGATAATTAATAATAGTCTTTTTTCTATTGCTTTATTCATTTCTGAATCATCCTTGGCTACTCTTATAAAATTTCACTAGTAAACAATTAAGGAACCTAGAGGTATGAATATAAGTTCCCACACAGCCAGCCATTCTTTCCTACAAGAAAACTACCAGTATTAAATGTAGTCAAAAAAGGAAAACTTATCTGGGGAAGGGCAAAGGGCAGGATAAGAGTTGCCTGCCAGGTTTCAGAGTTTTCTTGCTGCTGCCATGGGGAAGAGTGGTCTTTGTCTGGAAAGAAAGCATTTGCCCCTCTACCTGTTAAGTGACCGCTCCTCCCATTAAAATGCTGTGTGCATTAGCCGCCTCACCCACTTGGTGGCTGCAGCACCCCCCCCCCCCCCCCCCCCCCGAACAGTTTTTAATGAATTACCAGCCCTTCCCCCAAACAAACAAAGATCTGAGGCACCCAAGTCTCCCTCTCCAAATAAAGGGCCTTGCAGCGCCTTCAGAGCAGTTGCCGTAAGAGCAAAGTTCCCTGTGTCTGGCACAAGGATGCCCCACGTCACCTCTCACACACGTGTGCTCCGCCTGCTCCCAAAGGACACAATAGCTCTACCCAGTGTGTTCCAGGTGAAAGTGCTGCTTAGAACTCAGCATCTGCTGACTGGCTGTTCCTGAGCAGCTATTCATAGGAGAAAAAAGATTGATTTCCACGGGGGAATAGTTAAGGTAATGAGGTAAATAATTGTTTCCTCACTGGGGCTTTTACCAGCGAGAGGAACAGGGAACCACAGCTCCCTGTTGTCTGCTGTTTCTTCCTGGGCAGCTGCCTTGCTTGAGGCCAGAGTTCTCACTTAGGAGCTGTGCTGAGCTCACCCTGCGGGGCCAGAACTATAGGTGTTGTGTGAATTGCTGGAGGAGAGAGGATCGGGGCACTGGTCTTGTTAATCTCTGCAGGGATTTGGGGTGGTGTGTCATTTGTTATTCCGTAATTCTGTATTCCTACTGTTTGCCAGTTGAATTATTTTTTTCAATCCTTTTTGTGGTATCAGTCCATGTTTAAAGAATTCTTTTTTCACCCTGACTGGCAGTGGATTGAGTGCCAGCCCGTGAACCAAAAGGTCACAGGTTCAATTCCCAGTCAGGGCACATGCCTGGGTTGTGGGCCAGGTCCTCAAGTGGGAGGCGTGCGAGAGACAGCTGGTCCATATCTCTTGCACATCATTTCTCTCTTACATCAATGTTTCTCGCCTCTCTCTCCCTCCCTTCCCCTCTCTCTAAAAATAAATAAATATATATATATATTTTTAAATAATAAAGAATTTTTTCCATTCCTCAGGCTCATAGAACTAATTAAAGACTAAATCAAATGGGCAGGTACTCAAATGACAAACATAAGAGTCTGTCTGGAACCTCACAGTGTATTCTGTGCTTGAAAATTGGAAGAATGCTGGTGCCTACTCCTTTTTCTGAGCTCTGAGCCGTGCATTTTTTAAAACCGTCTCCCTTCTTCATTTTCCTTATTTTTAAAAAAACAACCAGTAGGCTTCAACCTAATATACCCTCAATTCATCTGAAAACCACTAAAAAAATTGTTTATTTAATAATGATGACTCAGAGAATCCTGGGAGACAGTGCCAGTTTGAGTCATAATGGGCTTTTGTCTCTAAGGCTATAGTTGTCTTACCTCTTCATGTGGTCATTTGTAACAATTCATAACATATATATATGTTTTTTAATATATTTAACTTAATTTCTAATTTGCCACAAGTGTTGACGTTGTTTGCCTTGTGGATTTTTCCAACATCTCATCAGAGCAGCGACTGATTGTTTCCTCTCACGCTGGCATTTAGGTCAATGGCTGTCTGCTGGACCCAGTGCCTCCGGTCCTGGTGAAGAAGGGATGCCAGTCGCTGCCCAGCAACATGATGGAGACCTCCATTGATGAAGGATTGGAGGCTGAAGGAGAGGCTGAGGAGGACCCTGGTCAGGCCTTTGACACGTTCCAGTCTACACGCAGTGGGCAGAGGCGGCACACGCTGTCAGAAGTGACCAATCAGCTATTCGTGATGCCTGGATCAGGTATGGGATCTGTCAAGCTACAGGTTAAGTTTTCAAAGCATCAACTCACAGTTCAGTCTCTAAGAAATAGCAGTGATACCAACCAGTTCCTAGAATGAAGTCCATAATAGAGGATTTCCCCCATGGAAGTCAGTCAGTCTTTTCCTTCATGGACAGCATTCAGCGGGCTAAAGGAGTGGGCCTGCTTGTAGCTGCAGAGAGTAAAGCGAGTCATCTCTGAGTCTGCCCCTAACTCCCAGACTTGGTAAGTGTCATGAGACACCTCAAGGACCCTGACACTTCAGGAGTGGCAAAGATCTGATGGGCGTGGGTTCTGTGGTGTTCTCTCCACTGACTTCAAAGCTGATTACGTTGACAGGTAAAAACGTTCTGAAAAGATGTTTTGGTTGGAGATTAAGGACGTTGTATCTGCGAGAACTCAAGCTGACTACCCTTTGTATCTCCTGTTGAAAAAGTTGCTCTTTGCTATTGTCACATCTGTTTCTTTTCTGTTACAGGAAAAATTTTCTCCATGAGTGACAACCCCTCCCTTGATAGCGTGGATTCTGAGTATGATATAGGGTCTGTTCAGAGGGATCTGAACTTTCTGGAGGACAACCCTTCCCTTAAGGACATCATGGTAGCCAACCAGCCTTCACCTCGCATGACATCACCCTTCATAAGCCTGAGGCCTGCCAACCCGGCCATGCAGGCTCTGAGCTCCCAAAAAAGAGAGGCCCACAACAGGTCGCCAGTGAGCTTCCGAGAGGGTCGCAGGGCCTCAGACACCTCCCTGACCCAAGGTAACCGGCTGCTTTCCCTTCTGGCTTTTAAAATGCTTATTGGTAGGATTTGAAGGGGTTTGTTGCCATGTTGATACCATACCTGTCGTCACTAAAAGGCCTTGTTTTATTTAAACTGTTTGGTCATTGCACTCTCTTCCAGGAATTGTAGCATTTAGACAACACCTTCAGAATCTGGCTAGAACCAAAGGAATCCTCGAGTTGAACAAAGTACAGTTGCTGTATGAACAAATAGGATCAGAGGCAGACCCGAACTTGGCATCAGCTGCTCCTCAGCTGCAAGACCTGGCTAGCAGTTGCCCCCAGGTGAGTGCCCCAGGCCCTTTCCACAGTGGCTCTGTGCGTGTGCGGAGTGTTTGGTCTGAAGATGCATCATGTCACTTAGAGGATTTACTCTGGTCCTGGAACAAACAGATTCTTTTGGAAAACTTTCCTTGTTGCTGCCACTCACCACTGACAGTACCTGTGCAAGACCTGTGCACACTGGCCCAGGTGACCAGCACTACATGGAGGCCTTGACACTGTCAAGCTGTATGTGGCTCAGAGAGCAGATTTTATGTGAATTACCTCTCAGTCTCCTTTGGACTCCCCTACCCCCAGCAGACACAAAAATTAAGAATAATAAACTTCACCCAAATGAGAAGATTATTGCCACTACTTTGGATGTGCTGTTACTTTATTAAATATTGTAAATGGATTGATTATTTATGCTAAAGATACAAAAAATACTGCTATTTAGCAGTAGGTTTTATTATGAACAGTATTTTCAGTGCATCAAGGATATTACAGCATCGCCCACATGCAGGTAACAACTGCCTGGTGACAGAGCCTTTGCTCCAGCACTGACTAGATCCTCGTTCACAGCGGGGAACTCGTGTACAGATTTTCTGTGTGATGATGAACCCTCAGCCTACTGATGTATAAAAGCTGAGTGTTACGTCTTACCGAGTTGGAGTTCCTCTTGGGCATTTGCCAAGGTGCTTCAACTAAAAACTAAAACTTTTCCTACAAGGAGAATTGAAAACGTCTTCACCCCCTTGCTCCTCAGGAGGAAGTCCCTCAGCAGCAGAAAAGTGTTTCCGCTCTCCCCACCAGCGTGCACCCTCAGCTGTCCCAGCGGCAGAGCCTGGAAGCCCAGTACCTGCAGCACAGACTCCAGGTGGGGCCTCCCCTCGCTGCTCCAGCTCACTGTGCTGGCCCAGAAGCGGCCTTTCTGCACAACAGAAACCTCTTTTGCTTGTTGTCATTTTTTGTTTGTTTGTTTTTAGGGTAGCAGTTTGGTTCTTTATGGACAGGTAGGTTTGACAGTGTACTTCTAGTTTCTAGAAGCATGTTCAGACTTAGCATTATGCTCTGTGCTAGGGGCGGGTTTGTCCTCAGGCCCCAGGAGAGGACAGCACCACAGAGGGGCCGGAAAGGGAAACATGGCTTCTTTGCTTCTCACGTTATGTTTCACAATGAATAATAAGTGGAAATCTCACGTCTGCAGATTTTAATACCACCTATCTACATTGGTGCCTGTTCAATCAGCAGGTGCTGAAGCCTTTGTTACCAGTACTCAGCCCCACTTTTCTCATAGTTTTTAAAATCTCCATGAACCTCACAGTCCTAGGGGACTTTTAGAAATGGAAACTGCAGTAGGTTAGAGCTGAGACAGCTCAGGCTTGCTGACTCAAAGCTGTCGGCCCCAAAGCTCTACCAGGGTCTCAGTGAGCAAGAACCATCAGTCCCCTCTCGACCCCTCTCTACATGGATTTCGGAGGACACACTGAGCTTCACCGTCTCGGTAGCAGTACAGTCTGATGACCACGTCCTAGACGGTAATACACTGTCATGCTTATATCATTTTCTGCTCTTGCAGAAGCCCGGCCTTCTGTCAAAAGCCCAGAACACCTGTCAGCTTTACTGTAAAGAACCACCACGGAGCCTTGAACAGCAGCTGCAGGAACACAGGTGAGAGGGAGTCTTTGGCCAAAGAAGTCACTTTTGTGGAAGACTTAAGAATGCTGGGCGTGTGTCCTTTCCCCCTGGTGTTTGTCTCTTCTAGGAAAATAAGTTTTTGATGCACGAGCCAGCCTTCAAGACATGGTCACTAACATGTCCGTGGAATGTGGGCCGATCAGGGGCTAGCAGCTCTAAATGTGATTTGTTTTCCTTCTCTTCTCACGTCTCCCCTTTGAGTTGAGAGTAGACCTAGTGCCGGCCGAGTGGGCGACACTGTGGAACAGGTCTCCACCCTCCCTCGCAGTGAGTGACTCCTGCCCCTCAGGCCTCACTGCTCCATCAACTGAAGATGCCCGGCGAGGCCGCGGTGTCCCCCACCATCCCGCCAAAACCCTCCAGATGAGAAATCAAGCCTCTTGCTTCACGGGGAGAAAAACTCAAGAGTCTGACAGAAAATTAGTGTTCACTCTTGCACTGAGGGACCAATCAAAATTGGGGTACAAAACCTAAGATGAGGTTTAAGGAAGCTGACAGGATTTGCTCCTCTGCCCACTTTTTTCTTCTGCCACAGAAGGAGACGTGAGAGGACTGAAGCCAGTGACTGATACTGGCTTTATATTAAAATTGCCATCACTGAGGATTTAAAATTCTTTCTTTTGGTTTTGCCAATATAGACTCCAACAGAAGCGACTCTTCCTCCAGAAACAGTCTCAGCTGCAGGCCTATTTTAACCAGATGCAGATAGCTGAGAGCTCGTACCCACAGCCAAATCAGCAGCTGCCCCTGGCCCACCAGGAGACGCCATCGTCGTCACAGCAGCCCCCACCGTTCAGCCTGGCCCAGCCCCTGAGCCCCGTCCTGGAGCCTGCTTCTGAGCAAATGCAGTACAGCCCCTTCCTCAGCCAGTACCAAGAGATGCAGCTGCAGCCCCTGCCCTCCTCGCCAAGCCCTCAGGCACACTTGCAGCAGCAGCCGCCACCACCACCTCCGCCGCCGCCACCACAGCAGTCGGGAGCTGCCCCGGCACCCTTACAGTTCTCCTATCAGACTTGTGAGCTGCCGGGCACTGTCTCCCCTGAGCCGGACTACCCCGCGCCCTGTCAGTACCCTGTGGACGGAGCCCAGCAGAGCGCAGCAGCGGCAGCGCCGGACTGTCCCAGGAGCTCAGGACTGCAGGAGGCGCCCTCCAGCTACGACCCTCTAGCCCTCTCTGAGTTCCCCGGACTCTTTGATTGTGAAATGCTGGAGGCCGTGGACCCGCAGCACAGCGGCTATGTCCTGGTGAATTAACCTCAGTGCAGGAAGTGAGGCAGGTCGAGTGTAGGAAGAGTGTGTATTTTTATTTTTATTCCAGCCTTTTACATTTAAAGCTTATTTTCCTACCCTCTTCCTAGGGGGAAAAACCAAGTTGCCCAACTGGAATCAGAGGGCCTGGCCAGGCTGATACTGCTTCTTCCTGGCCCTGTCCCACTGGAGTTTTCTGTGGCAAGTGCTGGAACACAGTTGTAGGCTGACACTCATGCCCTCGGGTCAGTGGAGCAAACTCACAGGAGACACTGACAAGTGTTTTATAAGAAGACATCCAAACGTAGGTTTTATCCAGAACTATACCAGTTATCAAGGAAAACCTTGGTGAGTGCAGGAAAACTGCATGCCATTATATGTAGGGAGAAAGGCAATATTTTTCACTGAAGCCAAGGAACAACATGTTGCTTAAAGGCAAGTCAAGGACACATAATGAAATCTGATGCGCAGGAAATAAAGATGTACTTTGTCATTGAAGCATAAGTTCAGAGCTGCTGATGAAGTTGTCCCCAAGACCATTACAAAGCACTGGGGTGTGGGCTTTGTTTCAAGGGCCACTAAACACCAGCTGGTACTGACCCCTGAGTGGCGGTCATCTCCATATGGGAGCAGGCAGTACACCTCTTCAGAAGGTGCCCTGGGTTACAGACTCAGAGTGTCCTTGGCTCCCAAGATGTCCCTGTAGAGCCCTCGCCCCTTCCCCCTCCCCCTTCCCCCTCCCCCCTCCCCCTTCCCCCCTTTCCCCCTCCCCCCTCCCCCCACAGTGGAGACGAGAAACTTGAGAGCACCACCAAGAGCACCAGCCCTGGGCCAGGGGGAGATGGGCTTTTCCTGCAGAGTCTGCGGTGGGGACTCCGGGGACTTCTGGTTGGGCAGCTGGTCATCAGAGAACCTAGTGGCTCTTTTACAGTGTAATCACTACTTTGACTTCACACTGTATGTTGCTAGTAGTTTATCAAGCTTTGTATATTTGGACAGTTTCATGTAGGGCTTAGAGATTTTAAGAACAAGAAAAATGAACTTATATTTCCCGTGTGAAGTGCTAGTGCTGTGCCTTTTCCCCCCAGATCACGCTTTAATTATTTCTTTTCTGTAGAAACCAAGTTTTCCATTTATATCAATGCTAAACCCAAAGTCACTTCAGAGTTTGTTTTCCACCATGTGGGAATTGTATTCTTAATTTCCTTAAAGTTTTGACTTGTAATTAAATGTTCAAGTATTACAGCAATATTCAAAAACCACAGATGTGTTAACCACTTAAGCAAATCATCTGCCAAACTCATTATATTACTAATAAAACTTAACCATTACAATTCACTCATCAAAGTAAGTAACAAATAGATGCTACAGCTAGTCAACTGTGTACCTAGAAGGAGCAATCTGTCATTTGGACAACAACACACAAGTGTGACAAATTCAGTATTATTTACAGACTGTCATTTCTGTCCTTCAGAACAGCGTGTCCTCTCTGCAGATGAATGCATTAAGCACAAGCATCTTCCTTAAAGCACAAAGAAGAGAGACAGATACCACACTGATGCTGCGTCTAGGAACACCTTTAAGTTGCCTTTCCTCTTTGTAGTAGGGGTCCAGGCAGGCGAGAAGCACGGGCCGTCTTAGGAGGTCTGTGTCGCCCCCGCCCCCTGGTGGTGGGACACGTCGCAGGGGCGCTGGGGGGGCGGAGCTGGAGCCTGGTGTTAGCCAGAAAGGGTACTAGGGAGGGTCACTGCCTTTGTGAGTTAGGAACACACAGTGGCAGTCCAGGAAGAATGAACTGTGTTCCTTCTGTGCATGGTTTATTCCTCCTCATGGTTAAGATTGATGAGTTCATGAAATAGATATTTCATTTAAGAGATCCTTCCATTAAGATCTCTAATCTGTTTTAAGTCTTTGCAAATACCTAGTTCTAAAACAGCTTGATTCATTTAGAATGAAAGATGTTTTTCCAAAATATACTGTTGAAGTGCTATAATATTTATGAAACTTAAATGCTTTCCCTGTTAAAAATGGGGGCCGCTCATTTCCCAGTCGCGGGAACGGTACAGTTACAGATGGGCTCAGACACCTGCGCTGACCAGGCCGGATGCCTTTTAGCCCAGGAGGCCTCGGAGCTGTGGCCAGTATCAAGGCTGCTGAAAGTTGAGAGGACCTGGAGACAGACGTGCTTTAGGGGCAGACTAGCGGTTCAGGTGCTCACCTGGGGAATAGCACGACCTGTCTGGCTGGACCTGTGTTATAAGCTCCTATTTGCCTTTCTCATTTCAAGCAGAAATCAATAAATTCCATAACCACCTGTATTTACTGAAATGTGAGCTTGTGAGAGGAGGCTGGTTCTTAGGTCAGTCGGGTGCTGGTTCCCCAGCCCTGTCTGTTCATCTGTGTTGCTCTGTCCCCTAAGTAGTGACCTGTATAAGCTTCCAGACAGTTTTCGCAAACACTAAAGTAACACTAATAAGAAGGCTTAATACCACTCTTTATGAGAGGCTGCTTTGAAATGACTTTCCAGTCTGTTTCACATTAGCAGTGTGTACACTACTGTATATAATTGTTAGCTTTATTATCTTGTAAACCAGGATCCTCTGAAGAGACTTCGGTGAAATGAACGTGAGGTAGAAATTTCAGCATTCGGCAAAAAGTGCAATATGTGTGGTACTTTATTTTTGTTTGTGCTCTTTTTTTTAATCCGGGGTATTAGTCTCTGCTTCGGGAAAAATGCACTAGTTCTGCAGTTCCCAGTTGGGCGAGTGTGTCTCTAGTATTTACATGCAACTGATGTGCTGGTCCCTGCAAGGCAAATAGACTGGGTTAGCACAATGGAAAGTGGGTGGGTGTTCCATTTTCAAACTCCTGGTGAGTGACGCTGACCATCCCTAGCTGCCCCCTGGCCACCTCTGCCCTGTCAGGCCTGCGGTGCCCTTCTTCGCTTGAGAGCAGAGAAAGGGGCAGAAGGCTCACCAACCACCCTAAACTATCATTTCATGAGAAACACTTGGGCCCCACAAAGCGGGGAGCAGGAAATGGGACTTGCTGTGATAGGAATGAAACCCCTTCCTTTCCATATCAGGCTGCCTCCTAGGAAAGAGAGAGTCCCTTTCTTCCTCAGCAATAAAGAGCTCCTGAGTGTTTACAGTGTGCCGCGTTGGTTAGGTGGGACCGGCAGGAGCCTGGGATTGGGACTAAAGTCTGCCCTTAACCTCAGAGGCCCCAGGGCCTCTGGGGGCTGCTGAGGGCATCGCCCTCCAGCCGACCAAGCTGCAGATGGGACCCATCCCGACACTGGGCTCTCCCACTGTGCCCCCACTCTGAGCAGTACCTTAAAGGGGGGGACTCAGAGAGAAAAGAATTCCACCTAATTGCTAGTGCTGGGAAGAAGGGAATCTTCTCCGCTAGAGAGTGAGTGGGCGCCCGACCAGAAAGTAAGGAGAGGCAAAAACAAGCAGCAGCCTCCCATTAGAGGTGGTCAGGACTCCGGGTGTGACGACTGGAGCAGTCCGATCAGGTGTGCGCTGCTCAGATGTGAACGTGATGAAACGAATGGCTTCCTTTTGGGGGTCCTCTGATCCCCCCAAAAAGTCAAGTTCTCGAAGCCTCAGGTTCTGTGTTGGGGTCAGAATTCTCAGCTCTGGATTACATTTAAAAACCTATGTGTACTGACAGTCATACTTCATAAGCTCCCTGTTGCTTTAAAGGAAATTCGCACTCCAGATAACTTTTTCACATTCCTCCTCCTCCAGAGACAATGCATAAGGTCATTTAACGACACTGGTCCCTGGGACCAGCCGGCCACCCTTGAGCGGGGCTGACCTTGGCTGCATCTGCACCATAAACTGCACAGCCTCTGCTGCCTCCCCTGAAGCCACCCGAGCCACTTGGTGTCTTTGTGCCTGGACATCAAAGGTAAATACTAGAGAACAGGTAGCAAGTCGGGGTCATTGCACAGGCAGAGGTAGTTGATCATTTTGTTCCTTCTGGAAATTTTGAAAGAGCTTCTCTTCAGAGTGATGTAGGGGAGACGAGCAGTACTGTCTGCCTCTGGTTCCTAAATTGGACCCAAAGAACTTTTTCTTATTTACGTGTTCCTTCCGACAGGTTCAGCAGTCCAGTCCTCCCTGGCCTGTGGCCCTGGTTTCAGGGCCCTTGGGGGAAGCAGCGGGGTGGACGGGTCAGACCTCCTGGGGCTCCTGTTGGCCCCGGAGTCCCTGGTCAAACAGTGCCCCTCACACTGGTTTTATCGTTTTTCCCCATTAAGGTAGCCTGGCTGATTAGTTGTAGCATCTTATACCCACATCGCCTGTGGGCAGATTTCAACACAGGTCACAGACGTGGGCAGGCAGGACCGCACGGACTGAGAAGCAGGAGGCAGCAGTGCTGTGTACTCAGCCAGTGAGAATTCTGACCGTTCCTGCCCAGACACTCAGCTCGCCCGTCCCAAAGGGGCCACTGCTTATGTTGGTACATGAATCTACCAAGCGCTTTCACAATCATCTCTTCTAATCCTCACAGTTCTCCGAAATCGGTCGGGCAGAAAGAGTCCTCATTTTTGGCAGCTAAGGAAACCATGGCTCTTGGAAGTCTGTGTGACTTGTCCGAGGGCACCACGCGGGTGAGGGGGCAACCAGCACGAGCTCTGGAGTTTGCTGGCTTCTCACTGCGTGTCCTTTCCCATCATCAGTGGCAGGGAATTCTTTTCATGAGCAAACAGCTAGATGTACAAAGCCCCCATCTTGGCCAAGCACTAGGTGAATGTGACACTGTCCCCTCAACCTCATTCTCCACTGGACAGCTGCCCCCAGGTGACCACAGCAGCTGTCCGGGTGGCTCCCCGTGAACAGGGCTGAGGGAGACACAGCCCCCGTGGACTGCCCTCCATCTGGTGTCCAGTTAATTACAGAAGTTTACCTTCACATCAAAGACGTCTAGTTTTTTGAAGTTAGGCAACACAATACGGTAATTTCCCACAGAAGTGCATGCTAGAAGGACACGCTCTTCCTCCACTGCCAAGGGACCAGATGCCCAGCCTCCTGCCCAGCCCTGCAGCCCAACAGACTCGGCCCCAGGGAAGAGGGCTGCTCAGAGAGGAGACCAGACTCAGCCTGGTCCTGAGGAGGGGTGTACTGTTCTACATTTAAGGCCCTTCCAGTACAAGTACAGATTAGACACTTTTGTGCCTAAAAAAAAATTAACATATTTTGATACTTTGCCCTCTCGGAGGCAAAGTGAGTAGGTAGAACAAGCTTTAAAAAAAGAGTAATAGCATCCTGGAAAAATAGGGCCCCAGACTGCAGCAATGTTACATTAGCAAGTGCAGGGAACTGGGACTTGCCACTGGCTGTGTGATGCCCCTCTGTTCAGATTTGCTCCATCAGGGAAATTCAAGTGGCGACACCGTCCCACGACTGCTGGGGAAGGAATCTGCCGCCCCCGAAACCTCTGAAGGGAAAAGCGGCAGACAGAGAGGGAGGACTGCTTCCCTTTTGGGACTGTGGTTTAAGAAATAGAAGTGATAGAGATATTTGCACTTTGTAGAAAGGGCAAGATGATTTGCTTATTTCTGAAGGGAGAAGGGTGTTTTCTGCTGGATGTTTGGTCTGTAAAAGAGTTACTTTTCGTAAAATTAATCTAATTGTAGTTATTTTTTTCTGTGTGCTTTTTTCTTTTAACGACTAAGGAATAAATGGTGAGTTCAATAGCTTTGGTATTTTAAGTGCGAATCATAATAGTTCCAATGTGAAAAAAATCAAAATGTAATCTGTCACTCAATGTTAGAAAATAGCCTAAAATGCAGTTTAATAAATGATCTTTGTATCCAACATTAATTTACATGGGGCAATTTTCTGCAAGAAAAATATACTGTTTTTACATTTCCAACACTCTTGAATTAAAATAAAAGCAACTTATTTTCTAAGAGCCTGGGTGATATGAATGTCAGGCGAGTGAGGCAGGGCCAGGGGGGGTCTTTTAAAGTCCTGGCGGGCAGCTGTGCTCCCTGAGCTCCGGTCGACAGTTCAGGCTGCAGGAAAGGGCAGTGGATGATATGTTCTCATTGACGTCAGCAGGGTAAGTGATACCTGGCCCTGAAGCGGCCGAGTGCAGGTTAGCTGCTGCAGAATGCTGACAGAGGCGCAGCTGACCACAGCCCTGCACGTGGCCAGGGCCGGCCGGCGCTGCCCAGTGCTCTTGGACTCTCACAGGCAGCCTGGCCGGGGCCTCATCCCGGGAGGGCCCAGGCGTGTCAGGCTCCCCAAGGACAAGCAAGATGCAGGGCAAGGGCTGAGAACGAGGGGCCAGCAAGACACTGCTACTTATTCATAATGACGGACTGGTAGGGCCTGCAGAAGGCCTCGACTCATGAGCACACTGAGGCCCCCACACAGGAACACGCGCCGGCTCAGTGCCCTCAGGTGCTGGAAGGATCCACTTGCTGAGGCATTCGAGGCCACTCGTATGTTTGGGACTTGTTCTAGTGCCAGACCCGAGTGAAAGGGCAGTATTAAATCCTACTTTCTGGCAGCAAAATTCAATTAAGATTTGGTTTCACTCAAAGCATTACAACTGAGCCCACGCTGTAGAACTGAGACAGGCCCCAAACGGGGATCCTCTTCAGGCTGCAGTGGGAGCGGGAGGAGTGGTGAGGGTGACAAGTGAGCCAGAGCCTCTCCGAGACTTGTTCTGGCGCAGCACCCTTACAGGCACTCAGCCCTGCCCCCAAACGACGACGGTATGCCCATTCGGCTACCCAAGAATTAAGTAACACTGAAATTCAATTGCACTTTCTTTTTCAAGGAAAGCACTCAATGTCAGTAATGATGTTTTGCAAACTTTCCCCTTTCCCACCAAATTTCTCCATTTTTGTATTGCCCCAAACAACCCTAGTGCCCAGGGTACAGGCGAAAATAACAGACCTGCCAGCAGACTGTCCAGGACTTGAAGCAGCCAGTAGGGCCTCTGACCTCTGCCTTCTCTGGAACCCTACCTCAGTTCTGTGGCCTTCACAACCAGGGGCTCAGCGCACGGTTGGGTGGGGGGAGGAAGGCTGCAGGACTAGAGCTGGCAGTGCGCACACTTGCAGGGGTGGCATGGGTGCAGTGACAGTGCCCCCAGCTTCTGTTGTTGGCCACCTGCTCCTTTCCACCCAACTACTTGTTAGACGAGGAGATTTCACAGGTCTCTTTGATGCGCCAATGTGACTTTGATGCGCCAAAGCTTTGGCCCCTCTTTCTGAGAAACGTGCACAGACATTTTCAGGGGAGGGGTTGGTTCCTGCACCCTCAGGCCCGTCCAGGGACCCTGAGTTGAGGTCTCTAACCCCTGACCAAGAAGAGCATCAATGGCTCCAACTGCAACCACTTGTGCTTTTCAGTGACTGATTCTGACAGGGCCCCTCCCCTCCTACCCCTCCTGCAGGATCTAGGAGAGGGAGGGGGAGCTCCACCTCCTCCCCCATCTCCCGCAGCTCTGCCTGCAGCTCCAGGACACCGTGGCAGGAAGTCCTGGGCTTTGTGCACTAAATTCTGAGTGCCACATGGCTATAAAACAAATCACCTGCACAGGCTACAACTGCTCTGCCCTTCTCATTTCAGCCCCAGCCTGTGATGTCACTACAGAAATGGCAAGGCCGAGCGGCTCTAAAGGGCAGGGATATTGTACATGGCTCATACTTTGCAATGTCCCTTAGGAGACAGATGTGGGTCTCAAGTGAAGCGAAGGTGTTGGACCCTCACCTCAGCCACTAACCCTCACTCGCATATCTGCCCCCACCCGGGATAAAGCCATGACCACGAATCACTGAGGCCAAACCCAAAAGCCAAGTCAGGCAGAGGTGGGAGCTTGCTGAGTGCCTTCAGCCATTCAACTCGACTCCTGCTGTGACGCACCCACTTGTCCCCAACCCACTGAGAAGCAGAATTCCTCCAGACCTGTCGTTGCCAGTGCCCTAAGGGAGTGTTGATACTTCCCTTTGTCTGAGTTTCTAGGGGACTTTCCTAGGCCTGATTGACTCAGCAGAGGCTGAGTGCAGACTGGGTGCAGGGCCGAGCCACCGAGCCAGGAGCCCAGATAGGGAGAGTGAGGGAGGGCTTGGCACCATGGGAAGCAGACCCTCCCGCTCGGCCCCCTGCCACAGCTTGAGTTCCCAAGGGCTGGCTGGGCCCAGAAGATATTAGGGACTCAGTCTCGAAGGAAGAACTGAGTCACTCTACCCACTAGGCAGGCTTTGAGAGCTTCTGACTCAATCTTTCTCCTAACCACCCCCCCAAAAGGAGAGAAGGATGGGGCCGGAGAAGCCCAACAAGGAGGCCTGGTGGAGCACTCTGACCCTCAGGAGCGAGTCCATGGCCCTGTCAGGGCCACCAGCACAGCTGGGGAGTGGGACACAACTGAACTGAGGGAGAGCCTCCAAGGCCTTTCCTAGAAGCACAGAGTGTGAAGGATCGGAGTTCACAGCCTCCGCTAACTCTTCAGTCTGAGACCTGCCAGACCTGCCCTCAGGTCACTAGGGAAGCCTAATGTCTAGCAGGGCCCCTGTGCCAGCACGGTAAGGGCCCAAGGACCAGCAGGTTGGAGGGGCCCCAGAAATGAAAGGGCGAGGCAAGGAGGGCATGTCCAGGAACAAGGCTGAGAGAACAGGGCCTGGCTTTCCCCGGCCCCCCTCCTGGAGCAGCCACCGCAGCCAGAAAGTCCCTCCAGGCAGGGCGGCGCCCACCCACTCTCTGCCAAGGGCAGGCGGGGAGGCAGCAAGCCCTGGCACCCCTCCCAGCGCCGCCACTCTCTCGGGCAGACCCTTGCAAAGGCTCACTATGCCCCCCGGTCCTCGGGAACACAGACCGGCTGACTTAACCCCCGGGTTTACTGGGAGGCTCACTGCGTGACACTGCCTTGTAACAGGAAAGACCCAGAAGACGCCCAGCTTCCCTTGACGGCTGGTACAGTACCTCACTTCTACCTGTCTTGCTTTCATTTAACTCTTAACTGGCCCAACACTGGACACACAGAATGGCTGCTTGGTACCCGTACAATCCCTTCACTCATTTAAGAATGTCTGTCCTGCCCTGGCCAGTATGGCTTAGTTGGTTGGAGAATCCTCCCCTACATCAAAGGGTTGAGGGTTTGATTCCTGGTCAGAGCACATACCCAGGTTGGACGTACGGGAGGCAACCAATCCAAGCTTCTCTCACTCTCACTCTCCCCCCTTTCTCTCTCTCTAAAGTCAATAAACATTAAAAAAAAGAAAAAGGAATGGCTGTCCTATTCTGAGTACCAGTTCCAGGTGAAGCCCCCAGAACTTCAACCAATATTTCTTCATTTTCAGTGATGAATCCTTGGCAGCAACAGCCACAGGTGCCACAGACACAGGAACATCCGTGGGAATCCAGTCACACCTACAGGGGCCGTTTCATGCGTCTCCCCCTTTTAGGCCCAGTCCCTGGGTAGAGAAGGGTCGGAGGTCTGGGGGGTCTTCCTCTGCAGACAGATGCTTGGTCCCCAAGGCCCCACAGTGGAACAGGTGAGAAGAGGAGGCCAGAGCCTGAGGACCCCGTTCCAGCTGCCGTGACCGGCCCACTGCTGACCTCCCCAGGCTTTGGTCTGTTGTCAGTTCTCCGTTCACTTGGGCCCAGGCCTCCTGTATAGTCTTTCTGGGTTCAAGAGAACTAATCCTCTGGCTTTGCCATAGCCAAGCTCCTTAGAATTGCCCTGGAGACCCTCAGGCAGCACCCAGACCCCCTTAATCTGCTTTTAGGAGACAAGAACAGGTCAGGCAGCCCCTCCTCCTCCAGGAAGCTGGTTCCAAAAGAAGCCAAGATTCCTGAGCGAAGAATGACCCCCCACCTCAGGCTAGCTGAAACAGCAGCTCACCAGCCAGTGTTAATATGGGTGAGGAGGTAGGGAGAGACAGACGTCAGAAGGCAGAGGCAGGAGATCCTAGAGGCCCCAGAGACTTTCTGAGTTTGGGGAAATGAAGAAAACTGAGAAATCAGAAGTAGGACAAGGGTAGAAAGAGCACAGTGTGCAGAAAGTGAGGCCTCAGTGGAGACTCGGGGTGCAGGGCTAGGCTTGGCCAGTATCTGCAGCACGGAGGTCCAGACAAAGAAGAGGAAGAAGAGGGTGGATTCAGTAGTCAGAGACTACAACCATTATTTTTAGATGCTTCCCTTGATTCAGTCTCACCCTGGCAGGGCAGCTCAGTCGGTTAGAGCACTGTCCCCATACACCAAGGTTGCGGGTCCCTGGTCAGGGCACACATAAAAAGCAACCAATGAATGCATAAGTAGAACAAATTGATGTTTCTCTCTCACTTTCCCCCACCCCCTTCCTGTCTCTCTCTAAAATCAATGAAAACAAAATTTTCAATCATAACCTTCAGTCTCTAAACCTGGGCTCAGCATGGAGACTGAATATCCCTCACAGCTGCTCCTTCCTGCAATAACAAGACTGACATCACTGTTGTCAGGGAAATGGTGTTTTGATTTAAAATCATGTGACAGCTACTTCATGATTCAATAAACAAACCCTCTATTAACCCTTGCCTAACAGGCCCGCCAGCAGCTCTGACTTCAGAGAGCAACCTGCACACCGTCCAGGAGGACAGTCCCACCTGGCCGGGAGGGCAGACCACCCATCCACCGCCAGGAAGGAGCAGCTGAGGTGACCCAGAGTTGACAGGGGTGTGCGACGTGGCCACTACGCCCCAGATACGTGCAACACCAAAGCAGAGACAGCTCTGCAGACACCAAGGGCCAGTCTGTCAGGGACCAAGTAGGCACCTTTCGCCAAAAGAAACTGGTTCCCACCCGTTGGGGCCATTGGCTCTTGGACCGAAAGGAGGCCCAAGCCCTGGGAGGTTGAATGGCTCCCACAGAAGCCTGAGGCCAGCCAAGAACTAAGGGCAGTTCCCCAGGGCTCTGAGCAGCCAGGGCTCACTCTGACCCCATTTGGGCAGTTGGGCCTGTTTGCTATGCACCACAGACAGTGAGTGAGGGGTTAAGAATGATTTCTGGTTTGCAATTGGATGACTTCCTGGATCACTCACTTGGCTGCTGGCCCCTGACACACAGGGCTCCCTGGCAACAGCCAATGCCCCTCCCATCTCACCCTCAGGTCATTTTCCTTAAGGGAAACACATGCACAGCCCTGCATCACAGAGCAGGGGGGCTTCTAGTTTAAATGAACTGTAGAGTCATAGGCCTAGCGAGGCTGGGCCTGTGCTGCAGGAAGACCCCCAAGTAGACACAAGGTTGCAGGGAGGGTCTGGATGTCACACATGTTCACAACCACTTAAAAATGGAGCTGACACCACTTATACCACCTAGAGTCATTGTGAGGATTAAGTGAGGTTTTGCCAAATCTTTGACAAGGTGCCTGCACACAGTTACTGAAGCTGGAGGCTCAAAGAAGGGCAGCGAGCAGTTTCCCCTGCTTGTGGCCATGACGAGACCACCTGCAGACCTAAGCGAGTCTGCTATGGTGAAGGGAGGCCTCACCCATCCCCTGCTCACATCAGGGGCACACCATACATTTAATGGCACGGCCAGCTGACTCTGAATTCGTAGGAAAACATAATTCGTTTCTTCCCAAGAAAGTCTGGTTTAGACCTAAAAACACAACTGTTACTCCTGCTCCTTCAACCAAAGTGTCTTCCCTAAGGCCAAGTTCTGTGAAATGGACTGAGGACTCGAAGGGCTGACCTCCTTGGGCATCGGTCAGGGCCCAGGGTCTGGCCGAGGCTGTGAGCTCACCCCAGCACTTCCTCCGCAGGGACAGCCCAGAGCTGCCAACTCAGACCCACCTGGCATCCCAGGTCCTGGGACAGTGGTGCATAGCACCACCGGAAAGGAAAATTCTAGAATGAAAACTGGCAGTTCAGAGCCTGGACAACGGGAAGAAGTTCTCATTGCCTCAGTTTACATGAAATGAAGGAAAAGCCTGCCCTGACTGGGTAGCTTAGTTGGTCATAGAATCGTCCCGATACACCAAGGTTGTGAGTTCCATCCCCAGTCGGGGCACATACAATAATCAACCAATGAATGCACCAGTAAGTGGAACAACAAATTGATGTTCCTCTCCCCCTTCCTCTCTAATGAAGGAAGAGCCACTGAGATTTGGAAGGCAAACTTTTTGACATTACAACCTTCACCGAGCAAACCCACTGCAGTGGGAGAATGCCAATCACCTTCCACATGAACTAAATGCAGTTGGACTCAGCATGAGGCAGCCGAGTACCTCGTGCTGTTTTCTGAATGTATCTGTAAGTCTTAAGTTGCACAGCCCCAGGACAAGTGGCTGGCACCGACTTTGCTTATACTTGAATTTTTGCACACCTTCTCCAGAGTGGCATCAAACGGGGCTTGTGAAATATTTGGACACAGTAAAATCGACAGGGATGGCTTTTTCCTTGAATGGAAATGACAACCTGAGAGGTACTGTAGCAAAGAAGAACTGTCTCCACTCTGGGAGACAAGTGGAAACAGCCCATAAGCGCCTCCACCAACCCGCCCGTCTGGCCTCTGCACGGGCCTCACTGGCTCTAACTAGGCAGACCGGGAGAGGCCTCGGGCCACAGGAGTGACCAAGCTCTGGAAAGCCCACTCCACCACAGGCGTTCCCAGAACAGAAGGTAAGAAACAGGGCAACAGGCTTTAAAATTGCAGAGTGGAGAAAAGTTAGGTTTACAGTCGTGAGTATGCAAAAGTATTCTTATATCATTATTTACAATTATTGAATTATTTTCCATTCAAACAACTGTAAACCTACTTTTGCCCCACTCTGTATCCTCTCTCGGCCCTAAAAACTTGACTGTCTCTCAGGGACAGGGTTAAAGGTACCACTTCTCTGCCCAGCCTGTGGTAGCACCAGGCCCTGTTGGCTGTCCTCTGCCCACACCTAAGTACAGGAGAAGGGATGACTCGGGCCCAAGGGGTCTGTGGCACTTACCTTCCCAGTGTCCTCTCCAGGCCCCCTGGGTCTCAGGAAGTGGTTCTTGTCAGCCCCAGGGGCGTTGGGCTCTTCACTGCCCTTGACAGGAAAATCTAGCTTCCTCAGCCTTTGGGCCACCACTGAAGATAGACACAGCACTGTAACTGTTCCTCCCCACGCCCCTCCTAAGCCCACCTTTGCTTCCCAGGATGCCCTCGGTGTTCCAGCACTGCGGTGGGGATGGGTCCCCTGGGCTGAGAAAGCAGGTAGACCCCAGGACCTTACTGAAGGTCCTTTTCCTCAAGAGCCAAGGAAAGTGCCATTCCACCTGGTCCATGGTACCAGCTAAATGCTTCCCTGCCTCTGTCACCGACAGCCTGCAGAGCCCCAGTCAGTCACAAAAGACCTGGGTCCACCTAGGACTGATAGTATCAGATTAAAAGAACATCTCTGGAGAAAGAAATGACTTGGCTTTTCTGCCCAATGAGCAATTAAGCTCTCTTCCTCCTCCAGATTTCCATCTCAACAGAACATCATGCAATTTCCTGGACACAGCAGGCTCGTAGGGAAAAGAGGGACTGTTCTAGGTACAAAAAAGGATTGGAGACATGTGAGTGAACAGGAAAAAGGGGCAAGGAACTGGATGGAAACAGGAATAGGAAAATCAAGGGGGAAAAATCACATGACATCAGACCACAATCACTGCATCTGTTAAACCAAGGGAAGAAGGGAACAGGTCCTTCTCCCTCCAGGATTATATCCAAGCGGTGGAGAAACAGGTTTTAAAATAGAGTATCAAAATGAAAAAAAAAGTGTCAGAGGAATTTAAGTAAAAAGCAGAAGGGCAAGGCAGGCAGCCGACCCACTTTGGCGACCCTGCCCTGCCGCCTCCACTGGGACGGCACCAACGTGGGTTCTACAGAAAAGCACCTGACGGGCAACTCAGTGACCACACGGTGATTAACAAACAAAACTGCAACAAGCAACGCTGCCATAGCAAAGCTACTTTGCCAACAACGCCATTCTTCTCCCCCCTCGAGGCCTACACATTGTCGTGAGTGCTTGGACGGGGCAGCTCAGAAGTCAGGCTGCTGCCTGTTTTGAGTCAGGACAAATGTCCAGCAAAGACCCCCAGGGCCATGCACCCCAGGGGTCAAGCTCTGGTACTTCCATGAGCGGAAGACTGATTGTGACTTCAGTGGGGCCTCATTAGAAACCACACTGCCCTGGCTGGTGTGACTCAGTGGACTGAGGGCCGCCGGGCTGTGAACCAAAGGGCTGCTGGTTCGACTCCCAGTCAGGGCACATGCTTGGGTTGTGGGCCAGGTCCCCAGTAGGGGCCACATGTGAGGCAACCACACATTGATGTTTCTCCCTCCTTTCCCCCTCTCTAAAAAGAAAAATAAATAAAATCTTAAAAAGAACCCACACATTAACAACCTGTTTCTTCTTATGAAATAGGATGCACCTTTGGTTCATACCCGCGTGGCAGACATAGAAATAAGATCTGCTCTCTCCAATCTGTGAGGAGTAAACCCCATACAAATGATAGGAACACTGAGGTGAATTCTGTTGTTGATGAGACATTTTTATTGATAGGTTTGTATGTTTGCCTCTGCGTCCCTTTCCTAATCAACCAAACAATCGATGTGAACTGCCTTGGACAATTACAACGATCTATGTTGGGGGCAACCACAACGATCCAAATGAATGGTTGTCTGAAACAGCGTACTGGAGAAGGGTCACATAAAGCACGTTTCTTATTAAGAGCAGTAAAACCTGCTCTCGTTTTGTCAATTGGAGAGCGAGACGTGGTCTGGCACCTTTGGTGACTTGTTCCATGATCGCAACACATCAGAGAACAGACTGTAGGAATGCATTGAACACATTTTTATTGAGCACCTATGTACACCAGACACTGATCCAAGTGCTGGTAATACAGCAGAATACAAAACAGACAACACTCTCTGCCCTTTCAGAGCTCCTGGAGCTTACATTCCAGTGAAACCAAGATAACCCAAGAAAAAAATGACCAAGTTATGAGCCAAAACACAATTCCTCTTAGAAAAAAACAAATGAGACTGCCTACTGTTCAACTGCTAAGGAAGCAGTGAGATCCCTAGGGAGTCATCTAAAAAGGCAGCGCCCTGCTGAGCTCCCTGACCCACGCCTGAACAAGCAAAGGAGTCCCCTTTGCCACAGTCCTAGGGCACAAGGTACAGGGCTCCCAGGGAAGGTACCAGGGCATTTAAAACTCTATCTGCAAACCAAGGGCATTTCCAATCAAAGATAAAGTAACAGTTGTACAAATGTGTTTTAAGAATCAAGACAACAGTCTCTGATATATAAAATTCAATAAAGAGGAACACAACCTACAGGTAACAAAAAAGAACCGTGAAAGTAAAATTAAAATGTTTATAGCATAATACTTTCTAAGATATAAAATGAGAATGTATAAAAAATTTCTGCTTAGGAAAGCATTTAATTCTTAGCCCCCAAAGTAATAAAATTGGAAGTTACTATAAGGTAATTTGACAGTTTTAAATGCAGGCAATTTCTGATATAAAATGTTCAGTTTTTCTACAGAAAGACAAACTTGAAAGTAATTTGCTCAAACTTGGCTTTATGTAATAGTTTAACGTACAAAGTTTTATAGGTATCTTTGGAACTTCAAAAAAACAGAACAGGGTTCACTGGGTTTAAAAGAGGTTATGAATAAAAGAAACAATTCCAAAACCAAAATGGAAACAAGCAAACTACATAGCAGGGAGCACTGAGAAAAAAAAGCTACAATAAAACCTCATTAATTAAAATTCATTAGGGACAAGGCCAGTTTGAGTAGGTGACAATATAAATAAATTTAAATGGAAAAATACTAAAATTCTCCAAGAAATACAAATGTATGTATTTTAGGGATAAAGACTAAACTGAATATATCTAAAAAAATATGGCCTCATAAAAATCCTCATGAAAGCTATTTTAATGTAATTGAAAAAAGTGATTAGCAATTGGAGTATCAACTGGTAAAAGGATGCTTTTTAAAGAGAGCTTTAAAATTGTTTAAGTAGTTCAGACCCAATAGGCTTCCTTACATCCTACTAATTTGCTCCAGGAAACCCTTCCTCTGGCTTACTCATCTTAAGTTCCAAGAGGAATTAATGAGGCTTTACTGTAAAAAGCAGGAAAACAAAGATTTCAAATGATAAGATTCCAGCATCACCCACACCAGAAAGTAGTAATGAAACTTCAGTGTGGAAAGCCACAACTGCACAATGTAGCAGGGACCAGATATTATCACAGCTGGAAGCAGAATGATGTTAAAAGCAGGAAATCCTCGCAGTATTACACCAGTGGTTCCTTCACTCATTAGAAATACAAAACTGCAGTCTTACAAAGACACAGTACAACTACTGCTTATTAGGAAGCACTTTCTCAGGGTGTGGAATGGAGAAGAGAGTATTTTTTGAATGCCGTCACAGTGGTGTAAGCCATGGAAATTCAGTTGGGTTTTAACATCACACACTAGCAGCAAGACACATCTACACTTCAGGTTTCTGAGTGACATGATTACAGTCAAAATCAAGGAAATAAAAACAAAACAACCAAACGTGAACTCTGAGCTTCCACATTCTCCTTTCATGTAAGACCATCATTATCCAGGAAAACGTGGCTTTCTCTACAGTTAAATCTCAGTGTCTCCCCAAATAGAGGGTTTGTAAAATAAGTTATTCTAAACCATGTACACTTAAATTTTGGAATGATGGAGAGACACACATATATAAGTAAACACCACGAGAATCACGCCACTTCGTGTGTGGGCCCGAGCCCATCCGGGCCCGGACAGGAATATTCAGCGGCCAGGGCCTGATGAGACAGCAAGGATGCAGGAGCCCAGCTGGTGCCGGATAAACCACTAAGAAACAATCAAGAAATGACTGTACTGAGTGTCGGGAGTTGGTCACAAACAAAAAGAATGGTTTATAATTATTGCAACAAGAAAGACAAGTAAAAACAATCCCATTTCATCTTTAGAAAAGAATCAAGTCACTGAAATTTGATTTCTTGTAAGTTGTTGCCATTTGCTTGGATGAGGTCTTGAAGGTGTTCACTGTTTCTCCACCCAGTTTAAGAACACATTGACTAGAAATCTCTGATAAGAATTTAGTAAAGTCTTTTCCCTCCTGTTCCTCATCATGCCAAGGCAAGCACTGGAAAATTCCAAACAAAATCAAGTTAGTGGCACAGAAACTTCACGAACCATCTACGTGACTATTAAGTGCGACAACAATGATCCACAAGCAGGAGGCTACGAACTTATCGTCATGGCTTCTGTCAGGCTAACCAAAAAGTTACCCTTTAAAATCGAAATGAAAAACTATTCTTACCAGTAAGAATCCCACTCCTGCCCAGCCTACACATGGAACTGAGAAAACGGCCTGCTCAGCGGTGGGCCGAGAAGGGGCACCAGCATTCCAGGACCTCAGTACCCTCCCCGCCTCCCACATGCTCATCGCCCCACCCACTTAACATCACTCGGACCCTGTCAACCACAGCAAAAGCTGTAAGGCAGAAAACAGAAGGACCTACCACTTATAGCTTCCTGTGCGAAGTATTTGACATCCATGTCTTGATCTTGGCCTAACTTCTGCAGTACCGGCTTAACTTCCACCTGCAGAGCACTAAAATCCAACAGTATTATCTGAAAGGCAGCCTTTGGGTCAGAAAAACACTCTATGGTATATATACTCTAAGGTAATTTTTAAAGATTAAAATAAAAAGAAATATTTTAAAATACCTATCGGTTTGATAAGTACTAAAATAGTCTCTAAAGTTCTCAGCAGAAATAGCTTCAAACAATGATCTACACATATATGAGTTTAAATATAAAAGAGTGGACACCCTAAAAAATTAGTTATGCTACTTTATTATTTTCTTTAAACAAACCTACACCTTAGATAAAGTGTAAAACCCCTGATTTATTTTTAGTTATTACTCCCTACTATAAGGTAAAAATTCAGATCTACTTCTAAAATGAGAGTAATATTCACTGACAGTCGTCAGAAGGATTGGCAATTAGGTGAAACAGATAAAGGGATTAGGCAAAGAAAAATTCAGACACAGAAAAAAATAATAATATAAAGTCCTACTCAGTATTTATAGATTCAATGCAATTCCTATTAAAATTCCAACAGCATATTTCACTGATCTAGAATAAATACTCTTAAAAATTTATATGGAGCCCTGGCTGGTGTAGCTCAGTGGATTGAGTGCAGGCCTGCGAACCAAACAATCGCGGTTCAATTCCCAGTCAGGGCACATGCCTGGGTTGCAGACCGGTTCCCTGCAGGCCAGTTCCCAGCAGGGGACCCACGAAAGGCAACCATACATTGATGTTTCTCTCCCTCTTTCCTTCCCTTCCCCTCTAAAGATAAATAAATAAAATATTTAAAAAAAATAAATTGCATGTCATTTAAAAAAAAAAAATTTATATGGAACCAAAAAGACCCAATTGGCCTCAGCAATCTTGAAAAAGAACAAAGTAGGAGGGATCACAATACCTGACATAAAACTATACTACAAGGCCGCTGTAATTGAAATAGTCTGGTACTGGCATAAAAACAGGCACATAGACCAATGGAACAGAACAGAGAGCCCAGAAATAAACCCAAGTCTCTATGGTCAAGTAACATTTGACAAAGGGGGCATGAGCATAAAATGGAGTAAAAATAGTCTCTTCAATAACTGGTGTTAGGGGAACTGGACTGGTACATGCAAAAAGTAAATGAAACTACATTACCAATTTACACCACACCAGAATAAACTCAAAATGAATAAAAGACTTAAATACAAGTCGTGATACCAAGAAAGTCCTAGCAGAAAACACAGGCAATAAATTTCAGATACCCAACATACCAATATTTTTGTACATCCACTAGGGCAAGGGAAATCAAAGAAAAAATAAACAAATGGTACTTTATCAAAATAAAAAGCTTCTGCGTGGCTAAAGAAAACATCAGCAAAATGAAAAGAGAACCCACTGTATGGGAGAACATATTTGCCAGTGATACATCGGACAAGGATTTGATCTCCAAAATATATACAGAACGTATACTGACTCAACACCAGGAAGACAAACAATCCAATTAAAAAATGAACAAAGGACCTGAACAAACACTTCTCCAAAGAAGACATACAGAAGGCCCAGAGACGTATGAAAAGATGCTCAGCATCACTAGCAACTGGAGAGCAGCAAATTAAAACCACAGTGAGATACCACCTCACACCAGTCAGAACAGCCATCATAAACAAATCAACAAACAAGTGTTGGAGAGGATGTGGAGAAAAGGGAATCCTAGTGCACTGTTGGTGGGAATGCAAACTGGTACAGCCATTGTGGAAAACAGTTTGGAATTTCCTCAAAAAACTAAAAATGGAACTGTCTTTTGACCCAGCAATTCCATTGCTGGGAATATAACCTAAGAATCCTGAATCACCAAATGAAAAGAACCTATGCACCCCTATGTTCGTAGCAACATTATTTACAATAGCCAAATGTTGGAAACAGCTTAAGTGCCCATCAGTAAATGAATGGATCAAAAAGCTGTGGTACATTTACACGATGGAATCCTACACAGCATAAAGAAGGAACTCCTACCTTTTGTGACAGCATGGATGGAAATGAATATACTATGCTAAGGGAAATAAGCCAGTCAGTGACAGACAAATACCATATGATCTCACTTATAAGAGGACGCTAATGAACAAAATAAACTAACAAGCAAATTAGAACTGAAAACATGGAACAGACTGACAGAGGCCAGAAGGGAGACAGGAGGGTGATAAGGATGGAAAGAAGGGGAAGGGACTAGTCAAAGAACATGTATGAATGACCCATGGACATGGACAATGATGTAGGGATTGGCTATGGGAGCGGGGAGTAGGCTGGGCAGAGGAGGGCAAATGGGAAAAATTAGTATTGGGAGAAGTGGACTGGTACATGCAAAAAGTAAATGAAACTAGATCACCAACTTATACCACACACCAGAATAAACTCAAAATGGATAAAAGACTTAAATACAAGTCATGATAGGAAAGTCCTAGCAGAAAACATAGGCAGTAAAATTTCAGATACCCCACATACCAACACCAATAACTGTAATAGAATAACAAAAAGAATAAAAATATTACTCAGTATCTAGAATTGGTCCAATTTTCTGGAGAGATTTGGCCACGTTGAAACGAACATTTGCCACTTGGTCTCCTGCCATTTTCAATACAATGGGTAGCATCTGCTTAGTGGTTATTTCCTGACCGCAGGCTTCAGACAATGCCTAGAAAAAGAAATAAGAGGGCACATTTAAAATACTTTTATTTTTAAATATCCCAAAATGTCTCTAGTTTGAGCACTAAATGAAGGATACAAAGCAGCATAAAAAAAAAAAATCCCAGAATTAGACTAATTCACAACTGACATCACTACTGTAAATTTTAACATGAATTGAAAAACAGACATTTTCTCTCATCTCTTAACTATACAAATTAGTATAAATATATATTTCAGCCCTGACTGGCATGGCTCAGTGGGTTGGGTGTCACATCCCGCAGATAAAAGGTTGCAGATTCGATTCCTCGTCAGGGCACAAGCCTGGCTTGCGGACCAGGGCCCTGGCTGGGAGCGTGTAAGAGCCAACCAATCAATGTTTCTCTCAAATATCGATGTTTGTCTCCCTCTCTTTCTCCCTCCCTTTCCCTTCTCTAAAAATAAAGTCTTTTAAAAAAAATACATACATGCATTTTTATATGTGTGTGTATGTATAAATATTCTAAATAGAAAACAATATATGAATTCAAAGCAATAAGAGCCACGTAATACTTACATTAATGCAGAATAAAGTGGTCATTCTATGCAAATAATTAGGGTCATCTGCCATTACTAACACTTTGGGAACAATGGTATTTTGGGCCCACTCTGTACCAAACTTCTGAACCAGTTTCATGAGGTTGTTGGTGGCAGCTTCACGAATGGCGTACACTGCAGAAGAGGGGAAGACCACACTATCATGCTGCTTACATGAAAAGCATACCCTAGTTTACTTATGCCATCATCAAAGATGAGCCAAACACAAAGTTCTACAAACACATTCCAAATTTAGCCACACTGCACTGGCAAACATGCTTAGCTACGACTCGTAACAACACTGATTTGGTCTTACTACAGTTTCAAAATGTGTAATATGTCCAAGGAAAAAGGAGCTTGGTATAAGCACCATTAATTAATTAACAAATATGACCACCCACTATGTACTGTATGTTACAGAAAGAATACATAAGACACTTCTCCTCGAGATCATACACTAACATGCTCCAAGAAGTCACATGTTAAAGACTGATTATAATAAAGTATGAAATTGTGTAGTAACAATCATGAGGGCTGGAGTTTAGAAAAGAGGGAACAGAAAAGTCTAAAAAAGCTTTCGGGAAGAGAGACCTTATACTGGGCCTCATAGATTAGAGAGGATTTGTGTAAGGAGAGAGAAAAGAACGGTAATTCCTGGAAAGGGTAAAAAAAATTATCCAGAGCACAAAGGACAGAGCTGAAATCTGAGAAAATGTGAGGCTGGAGAGTTAGGGTAGACCAAAGACACAGAACATCTTGAAAGCTACATTGAAATGTTCTGGGGAAAAAAAGATGGGTTTTTGAAGCAAAGTTGTCACCCGCTGACCAGTGTGGTATTTTGACAAGATCCTCCCAGCCGTGGTGAGAACTGAGCGGAGGAAGACAACGAGGAGGTAGTTTAGAGGCCACTGCAGTCACCTACACAACAGCAAATAAAAACTTCAGACCATCGTGCCCATTTTCCCTTGAAAAGGTTTATGTTGAGCCACGTCAAATGTCTTCTGTAAATACACGTATCCACCATAACATTTAATACCCTACGAGATCATTTATCAAAGACATCATAAATCTAGACAATAAAGGCCGAAGCTACAGTTTTCTCAACAACTGGTTGCTATACACAGCACTGAACACAGACAGGGTTGCTGCTTACTTAATTTCACAGGTCCAATACAGTTCAAAACGGGGAGTTGGATAGCAAATCTAGGGTGCTGTGTAGTGATCCCTCCTCCTTTTCTCTCCAGGTAGGCCCAACCCACCTAGGTGATACGATAAGCAAGAATAGCTAAGCCACAGCCCCAATCCTGGAAAATCTATATAAAACTTCCAGGCAGGAAATAGTCAACTCTTCCCAGTCCATAGAGCCTTTTAGGCAATGCCATTAATAAAAACAGGCAAGAGAGCATAGCAAAGAAACTAGGTATCACCAACACACACCTGACCGAAGTCTGTAGGGGAATCAACCTGTCAGTAATATCTAGAAGCATTGTCTCAGAAGTTCAAGTCAACTGTTTTACCCACAATATAGATTCTCTCCCTTCACATGTATATAATCTTTGTCTTTGGCACAACCAACCTCCACACTGCCTCCCCAAAGGTGGGGCTAGCCACAGTACAGATGTCTGCTTCTCCTATTCCGTTTTTCAGTTTGGTATTTCTCTTATCCTAGTGCCCTTACCATAAGAAGGGATCTCACCACCACAGAAACCAAAGACAGCACACACACACTTCTGAAGACTATTTCTTTTTTCTTATCCTTTAAAGTTACCTTTTCATGGCCTATTTTTTTTCTTTTTAAATGAATCTTAAGTATGGCAAATCATAGCAAAAAAGTTCCTTTTCAGAAAAAAGTGTTTATATTATTTCTGATATATATTTAACATTAGTGAGAATGACATGCCCCAGAAGATTCTATACCTTCTAACTGAACTCAACTCTACTTGGCCAGATGCCTACAATGTTCTTAACTCCTCTCAATCTTATTGCCAAAAAAAAAAAAAACCCACTACACAGTTCTGCCTGTCTTCTCTCCTTGTTTTGCCTGCCTCCCTCCCTCCCTCAAGGTCTGCCTGACTTGCAGGATTCCTCTAAATGTTTACCACATTCTACATATGCTAACGTTGATATTCTTCCCCTCACCAATACAAAATAATTTCTCTTCTTAAACCCTGCCCATATAATTTATCCAAAATAAATTTACTTAATTTACAACTTGTTTAAAAATATATTCTCCTTCTAAATTCCTTCCCCATCAATATTGTCCACTCAACCACAAGAGCAGACATGAGTAATACTTTCTTCCTTACATTTCTCTGCATTGTTCACAATATTCTTTTAGTAGTTTAATAATGAGGAAGAAAGTTCCAAAGAATTCACTTATCACTAATCAATTAATACATAGTAGTTATCTAAAATGTCAAAACAAAACAACAAAAATTCCAAGTGATTAAGTACAGAATGTTTTCAAAGCTGATATTTCATTGGTTCAAACGATGGCCACTTTGGTATACTGCTATTGAAACAAACAAACAAACAAGGGTCTCTCCTACCCCCAAACTGGAAGAAAAAATATCAGAGGGGAAAAAAAGAAGGAGTAAGCTACTCCAAGCAATCCTACATAGAAAGGGTGTTGAGAATCTAATTCTTTGTGGAATATTAGTACATTGAAAGTTTCTCAAAATAAATCTAGAAAGCCAGCTTTCAAAGAAAAGTATAGAATCTTCTGGGATACGTCATTCTTCCTAATGTTATATATGCACCAAAAGTAATGTAAACACTAACTATATGACTGACCTCCCATATGATCCGAATAACAAAACCACCTTCCATATGCCCTTAACAAAACCATCTACATATCTAAGCAGACATAGTAAATATTCCCACCCCTTCCAAATATCCAGGCATAAGTAGCCACAGAAGAACAGAGATACACTCAACACATAAAGTACACATAAGATGCTATGGAACTCAAAGAGAATGCCTACCATATCCACCAAAATATCTAACTGAAGCTCACAGGACATTGTGTTATGAACTCCACAGCCTGCGGCCTGAGCAGGTTTCACACCGCACTGAAGATGCTGGTCTGGACCTGGGGCCTGACACTGGACCTTACTGGTACAGCGGGCACCCTTCCCACCTGCCACTTCCTGGACAAGAGGAGACACATGGACCCAAGACCTTGTCAAAAAAGTCAACTGCTAACAAATTAATATATAAATGGTTTTCTATAGATATCATTGTCTTGTCTATTTTGACAAGCCACAGCACCAGTTTTCATTTGTAACAGTTTGTGGCATTTGAAGAAAAGGATTTTATGAATTATATTATAAATGCAAAGAGAAGTTAAAGTATTGAGAGACCTATTTTCTAAATGATGTCCCACCTGACCCTGCCCTTAGCTTACAACTCACCCTCTCTTATTGTGGCAGCAAGCAGCCAAGGGTACAGGCAGTAAGCTTGCCTTTCACCAAAACCAGAAGTCTAGACCCTCTCTGTCTTAGCTCAGAGCCAACATCTCCCTCTCCGATTTCTTACTATGCTGCTATGTATCTCCTTCTCTACGTCACTCAAGCCAAGGAGCCATTTCTTCCCTATGGGCCTTTCATCTGGTTGCACACCCTGTCCAACCCAGATGGCATTGCCAAGCAGAAGACCATGAGGTAAGAAAGAAGTGTCTGTATGTATAAACGAGATAATATGAAAATAATGTAACAGAATGACTAAGAAACATGGCAAAGAGATTATTTATACAGAAAATAAGGTTTAAGATAGAAAAATATTGGTAGAAAATAGAAATGCCCAACTTGTGTTCAGAGGAAGCTAACTAGATTTTAATCAGTCTTTCTTCATCCCTACGCTAGGAAGGCAAAAATATCTGGTCAGATTAGGATTCATTTCTAAAAAAGAAATACATAAACAAAATGGGATATACGCAAAAACATGAGCATTCCATAATAACCTGTTTTTAACGTACTTACTTACCATGGTCCACAAGCCAAGCCATACATAAAGAATTCAGCTTTTCATCAAAGAATTCCACACCCTATGGATACAGATGATTGCATTAATACACATCTCTGAAGTTTAGAAGTCAAGATGGTCTATTCATAGTACACCAAAGTGATCTGAAATCTAATAAATACTTGCCTCCAAGTAAGCTGAATTCATGAACCAGCCAGAAAAGGAATACCATGGGATTTGATTTACAAACTGTAAGTCTATTTTATCAGACAGAAATCACAAACAAAGAAAGCATAAGTGAGATGGCCCGGGCTCTGCTAACTGGATGAGAACCGGGTGGCCTGGAGCCAGATACAAGACTGCAGATACCGAGGAAGAATGCAGCATGGACAGTCTGCCAAGCACTATCTACATTATTTGTAACACTGAGTTACCCAGGAAAATACCTGTCAACAAGACTTTTTATCTTTTTAGTTAAAATAAGTTATAGTTTACAGTCCTTATTATTTTGTATTAGTTTCAGGTACACAGCACAGTGGTTAGACAATCAGGCTTTACAGTGCTCCCCCGAGATTTCCCGTATCCATCTGACACCATACACAGGTATTACACTATCAGTGGCTACATTTCCTTTGCTGTACTTTACGTCCCAATGCCTACTTTGTAACTACCAACCTGTACTTCACTGTCAATAATGTTAATAATTCTCAATTTTTTTCCTTTTGGTTAAGATCATAATAAATCATTAAGAATGAAAAACTAGTATTAACAAACAAATATCCCGACTTCCGCCAAGATGGAGGTTGAGCTGGATGTGCCTGCCTCCTCACACAACCAAGTTTAGGGACAACTAAATATCAGCATCACAAAACACAACCAGAACACGGAAAACTGAACTTTTCGGAAGTCCGCTAACAACAAATTCTTCAGCCTGACCGGTAAGGTGCGAAACCAGTGTCCGGTGAGGACTTACAAAGGAGGGCTCGGTCGGACGGGCGCGGAATCGGCGCGCGAATCCAGTTACGCGGGTTCCAAACCCAGGATTGGACCTGGTGAGCCGCCGAGCAGCCCACCGGGGGAGCGACACAGTGGGGGAGGCGGTGGCAACGAATTGACTCTGGTTGCGCGCGAGTGAGGGAGTAAGCGGTTGGACCAGCCCGGCGGCGGCGGCGGGCGGCGGCGGCGGCCATTTCCCGCTCTGACCACACCCCCACATACAGCGTCACAACCCAGCGACCTGGGACTCCAAGGCGCCGCTTGTCCCACTTAAAGGGCCAGAACAGACCAAAAATGTCGCAGGCAGAACTCAAAGCCCCAGAGATAAATCTAAATGACGAAGAAATAGCAAAACTCTCAGATGCACAGTTTAAAACACTGGTCATCACCTTTCTCACAGATTTGGTGGATTACAGCCACAAATTAGAGAAACATATGGAGGCTAAATTAAGGAAATGAATGGAATTCCACAGGAATCCCATAGAGATGAAAAGGAAACTGGGACTCAAATCAATGCAAGGGTCCAGAAGAAAGCAAATAATGGACAAGCAGAAAAGAGTCAAGGAGCAAGAATTCAAAGAAATGAGGAGAGTCTTAGGAACCTCCAGGACATCTTTAAACGCTCCAATATCCGAATTATAGGGGTACCAGAAGGGGGAAAGACACAACCACCAGTGGAAAAACTATTTGAACAAATAATAAAAGAAAATTTCCCCAATCTGGCAAAGGAAATAGACTTCCAAGAAATCCAAGAAGCCCAGAGAGTACCAAAAAAGTTGGACTCAAGAAGAAACACACCAAGGCATATTATAATTACATTAGCCAAAATTAAAATGAAGGAAAGAATCCTGGAAGCAGCAAGAGCTAAGGGGACAGTCACCTACAAAGGAGTCCCCATCAGGCTGTCAGCAGATTTCTCAAAAGAGACCTTACAGGCAAGAAGGGGCTGGAAAGAAATATTCCAAGTCATGAAATCTAAAAACCTACAACCAAGATTGCTCTACCCAGCAAAACTTTCATTTAGAACGGAAGGACAGATAAGGTGCTTCTCAGATAAGACCAAATTCAAGGAGTTCATCATCACCAAGCCCTTATTATATGAATTGTTAAAGGGACTTATCTAAGAAAAAGAAGATAAAGAAACATGAACAGTGAAAGGACAACAAACCCACAGTTATTAACAACCACACCTAAAACGAAAGCAAACTAAAAGGACAGCTAGAGCAGGAGTGGAAACAGAAATGAAGATCTCAAGGAGGGTTAGCAACAGGGGAATGGGAGGAGGAGAGGGGGGGAGAAGGTACAGAAAACAGGTAGCATAGACAGTAGATAGAAAATAGATGGGGGGGGGCAAGAATAGTTTGGGAAATATAGAACCTAAAGGACTTGAGACACATGGACATAAACTAAAGGGGGGTAATGGTGGGGTTGGGGGGGCAGGGTGGAGGGAAATGGAGGGGGGAATAGAACAACTGTAACAGCATAATCAATTCAAAAAAATAAATAAATTTAATTAAAAAAAAAAACAAACAAACAAATATCCCCAATTAAATACAGTATTTCTATGATGATGAGAAGAGCAGCGGGAGGATAAAGCAGGCATAACACTACAGGTGACGTAGCCTGGCACGGAGGCACAGATGGAACCATCCTGGCTCTCCCAGTTCTGCTTTTCCTGTCAACAGGTGGCCACTCCAGCACAGGATGGGGACAGCTCCTGGAGCTGATTTACACAGACCTGTCACTGGGGTAATTCTATACCATGTGGGAGAACGCTGTGACACATGCTTTCCGAGTGCCTCCCCTTTGGGGTCTTTGGATCCAAGAAGTTCCTGAATAGTGACTATATATTTTAAATAAAGAGATATAACACAAAGTTTCAGTGATCTGAAAACAGTGATTTAACAAAGAAATGGCTTTATAATAATAACAGATCACAAACAGGTTTTAGCATACATTTAGATCACCATGTCAGCACTCAAAGATTTTTCATTTCACATTATGGCTTTTTCTTGAATCTTAACTTTTATTTCCTAATTTTTGTGGTTTAACTTTACATTTATTCAGCATGGCCCAGAGGCCAGGTCATCCAGAAAGACTTAAAAGAATTTTATAAATTGACTATCTGATACAAAAACCTTTACAGATAAAAAAATAAAATATATAATACTAACAAGACATTGAAGTTATATTAACAAGATGTTCATGACCGATGCATGTACCCAACTAAAAGGTGAGTCAGCCAATTACCATTTATTTGCTTCCACACTTCTCCACAGAGCCACTAACCTTTGCTGACCACCTACATCTCAGAGATTTTAAAAAACAGAGATTTTAAAAAACAGTACTAAAATTCACCCTTCCTTCTGGACAGTTGTTTCAGTCTTTAGCCAACCAGTTAGCCACTGCGGCCTTCCATTCTAGAGAGGTGACTGATTCATGACAGTTGCCAGTAAAGAACAGAAGATGACCCTCAGCACTTGGGAGTAACAGAGGAAAAAAAGGTGACAAGATGACCTTGCCTGACCCTTTTATTTATTTTTTATCTTTTTTTTTTTTTTGAGACAGAGGAAGGGGGAAAGGGAGAGGGAGGGAGAAAGAAAAACATCAATTTGTTGTTCCACTTATTTATGCACTCATTGGTTGTTTCTTGTATGTGTCCTGACCTGGGATCAAACCTGCAACCCTGGCGTATTGGGACAACACTCTAACCAAGCTACCTGGCCAGGGTTCACCCTTTTAGCTGTATACTAATATTTCTGACATCCATTTTGAAGACTGGGATGCTTCAAATTTTATAAAACACATCATATGCCACAAACATAAAATGCATTTCATAAATTAAATAGATCAAAATTAGCAACACAAAGTCAGAAGTCCAAGAAAGTAAAAAATAAATCCCATATGCTATGATCTGAAAGGAATGGAAGTGGAGGAGAGGAAACAAACTGCAGTAATGTTAGCTATAAACTGACATGATATTATGAGCTTCCTCAAAAAATACTCACGTATGTATTTATCTAACAATCAACAAATGTTCAGTGCCGATTAATGCCAAACACTGTAGCAGGCACTGCAAATAAAACACTGAACATAGCCAAGATGGAGGTATAGGTGGATGTGCCGTGCCTTCTCACACAACCAAGTTTAGAGACAACTAAATATTAGCAACAGAAAACACAGCCAGAACATGGAAAATTGAACTTTTCGGAAGTCCGTTAACAACAAATTCTTCAGCCTGACCAGTAAGGGGCGAAATCAGCGGCTGGTGAAGCGGGATTGCACAGGAGGACTCGGTCAGACGGACTCAGGCGCAGAATCCAGGCCCGGAATCCAGGTGCAGGGTTGGACCTAGTAAGCGACAGAGCGAGCCACCGCGGGGGAGACAGCGGGGGAGCAGTGCTGCGTGTTGACTGTGGTCGCGCATTTGTGCGCGGGCAGACAGGCGAGGGAGTGGGCGGTTGGACCGAGGCCCGGCGGGTCCCCACAGCAGGCGGCAGTGGAGGGCGCCGCCATTTCCCCGCTCTGACCCCACCTCCACATACAGCGTCATAACCCAGCAAGTCTGAGTGGCCCGGCCCTGGTGAACCACCTAAGACGCTAATCCTCACCCAGCTGTAAGAAACAGCAGAGGGGGCTCTGACCACGCCCCCACATACAGCGTCACCCAGCGACCTGGGAGTCCAAGGCACCGCTTCTCACACTTAAAGGGCCAGAACAGACAAAAAATGTCGCAAGAACTCAAAGCCCCAGAGCCCATAGATCTAAGCGATGAAGAAATAGCAAAACTCTCAGACGCACAGTTTAAAACACTGGTCATCAGGATCCTCACAGAACTGGTTGATTATAGCCACAAATTACACAAATATATGAAGCCGAAACTAATGGAAATGAATGGAATTGCACAGGAAACCAATAGCAATGAAAAGGAAACTGGGACTCAAATCAATGGAGTGGACCAGAAGAAAGCAAATAATGGCCAAACAGAAAAGAGTCAAGGAGCAAGAATTCAAGAAAATGAGGAGAGTCTTAGGAACCTCCAGGACATCTTTAAATGCTCCAACATCCGAATTATAGGGGTACCAGAAGGGGGAAAGGCACAGCCACCAGTGGAAAACTTATTTGAACAAATAATAAAGAAGAATTCCCCCAATCTGGCAAAGGAAATAGACTTCCAAGAAATCCAGGAAGCTCAGAGAGTCCCAAAGAAGTTGGACCCAAGAAGGAACACACCAAGGCACATCATAATTACATTAGCCAAAATTAAAATGAAGGAGAGAATCCTAGAAGCAGCAAGAGCTAAGGGGACAGTCACCTACAAAGGAGTCCCCATCAGACTGTCAGCGGATTTCTCAAAAGAGACCTTACAGGCAAGAAGGGGCTGGAAAGAGGTATTCCAAGTCATGAAATCCAAACACCTACAACCAAGATTGCTCTATCCAGCAAAACTTTCATTTATAATGGAAGGACAGATAAGGTGCTTCTCAGATAAGATCAAATTCAATGAGTTCATCATCACCAAGCCCTTATTATATGAAATGTTAAAGGGACTTATCTAAGAAAAAGAAGATAAAGAAACATGAACAGTGAAAGGACAACAAACTCACAGTTATTAACAACCACACCTAAAACAAAAGCAAACTAAAAGGACAGCTAGATCAGGAGTGGAAACATAGAAATGAAGATCTCAAGGAGGGTTAGCAACAGGGGAGTGGGAGGAGGAGAAGGGGGGATAAGGTAGAGAAAATAAGTAGCATAGACAGTAGACAGAAAATAGATTGGGGGGGGCAAGAATAGCATGGGAAATATAGAATCTAAAGGAATTGAGACACATGGTCAAACTAAAGGGGGGGTAAGGGTAGGGGGTAGGGTGGAGGGGAATGAAGGGGGGAATAGAACAACTGTAACAGCATAATTAAAAAAAACAACAACACTGAACATAGTCCCTACCCTCAAAGAGATCACTTGTCTATTTTCCCAACTAGTTTTCAAAAGACAGTCACAACGTGCTGTGTAATATGGGCTACCCACAGGATAAGGGTAAAGCAAACTTAGAACTATCTAGTGCATGTACAGAAGAAAAAAGAAAAAGTCATGGCAATAAAACACAGCACTGAAATTTTAATTAACATGATAACAGTTAAAGTAAAAATAATAATGAAACTCAAAGAGTGACAGATAGTTCAATAATGTGGACTATGGCCAAAATACCAGGATTAAAAACTTCAATACTCCTTTTTGAGCCTGGTTCTTCAATCCCCTTTAACCAGAATGCAAAAAAAGCATTAACCAGGGACATATTGCTCGGCATACAGGCAAACAGGGAAGCTGCTCTGAGCAAGAATCACAGAGACGTTAAATAACACAAAACATATGTTCTATACCAAGAAACATATTCTCCTATGACTTTGCTTTCAGATGGTGGTGAGGAGAAATGAGGCAAAATGTGTTTCTATAATTCCTTTTTGTTAGAAGTTAACACACTAAAGAAAATAGAAGCCATCCTGCAGGTAACTAGGACCTACCATACTTAGAAGCATCTAAATGAACATAACTGTACAAGTTACTGGGGCCCCTGACTTGCCATGGTAAATCTGTTCTACTATTTGATCTACCCTTCACTTCATGGGGCACACATACTCACCAGCTGGCCGGCCAGCAGTGGCATGTACTCAATGATGGCCAGCCGGACCCTCCACTTCGCATCTTCAGCCAACTCCACTATGGCAGGAAGAAGAGACTGGGAGAGTTGACGGATTCCAATCACTTCATTTACACAATCCAAATTGGAGATGATATTTAAACGAACTTCAGGACACTGCAATGACACAATCCCAAAGAACACATATAAAAATCAAGTTCTCTGCCCAATATTTCCCTACTGTCGTGATGAGATAAAAACTGCTAACTAAGGTTTAAAATAAGAGCCCTGGCTCAGTGAACTGAGTGCCAGCCTGAGAACTGAAAGGTCATCAGTTCAACCCCCATTCAAGGCACATGCCTGAGTTGCGGGCCAGGTCCCTAATTGAGGGCATGCAAAAGGCAATCCATTTATGTATCTCTTGCACATTGATGTTTCTCTCATTCCCCCCACCAAAGTAAATAAATAAAAGCTTTTAAAAAAAACTATCGTAAAATTTAAAATAAGAAAGTACTGACTCAGGTAAAAAAGAAGTATATATAGTCTTGGAAGACATACTGAATGAGTACACAAATAAATCAAAGCATAAAAATGTGACTGTTCTTAATGAGAATTCTCAATAAACAGTCTCAGATGATAAAGAGCACAGGATCTGAAATCAAATTACATGCATTCAAATCCTGAATCTGCCAAAAGATCTTGGATGAGTTATTTTATGTCTCTGTGCCTCAGTTTCTTCATCTGTAAAATGGGGATAAGAAGACCTACCTCATAAGATTGCTGTGAGGATACATGTAATGACATGTGCCAAGGCATCTGTGGTCATGTCTGGTATATAGTTTTACTCAAGTGTTAGCTATTAGTATAATGTTGATATTCTATTTAAATTTAAATAAAAGAAACTTTTAAAACAAAGACACATTAAGTTTAAGGAACAAGTATAAAGGACACTTGGACAAAAACAAGGGGGAGTGGAAACAGGAGGGAGGTGGGGAGGGCTGGGATTGGGGGAAAAGGCAGAAAACTATACCTGAACAACAATTAAATTAAAATAAAATAAAATATAAAATAAAATGATACATTAAGTTTAAAGAGAGGACACTAGTGCCTATCACCAGGAATCAGGCAAAGGAAATGCACAGGCATTTTTCACGTCTGTATCAATGGCTCCTTGTGCCATTTTCTGGAGAACTTGCAAACCACACTCAAATGCAAGGACTGTCACTGGTTTAAAGTAAGTTACTTTTTAAAATTCTATCATCCCTGTTTTGGGTTCTATTTTAGTGAAACCCCAAACCAAGACCAAACCAAATCACTGACTAACAAGCAACAGAATTTATAGCCAGACTCACCTCATCCTTTAACTGAGCTAAAAAAAGAGGTAGAAGATGTTCGATGGTATTCTCTTTGCCCAAAATGGTAGACAATCCCATAATTACAGAAGCTAGAGCTGACTTGACATGTTGATTTGTATCAGATACTAATTCCTAAAATAAAATCACAATTAAAAGGCTTTCCTTCTTACAAGACAAACAGAAACTTCAATATCATTTCCCAAGGAATTTAAAAAGACAGCATTATTTCAACATTGTTAGTTGATAGTTTCCTCAGATCATCTGTCAGATAACATAACCCTAGGCACCAAAGACAATTTTACAATTTATAACACACTAATAAATGATAAGTAACAATGTCACACATTAACACATCTATCCCATCCATCCCTTGTCCACCTTTAAACTCAAAGAGCTTTGAGGTCAAATAAACAAACAAAAAAACAAGGTAATGTTTTCTTTCATATAGGGCAAAGTAAAACTAAAAGTAAAGTTAGGTTTACCTTTATGTAAGGCAGAACTTGATTCATAATTATGGTTTCTCTACCCTCAATGGGCAAGTTCTCACAAAGTTCTAAAAGACAGAAATAGAAAAAAATAATGCTCACATAGAGCCATTTACAACCTGCCAAATGAAGAAATTTAACCAATTTTATCAACAGTTTCAAGTTGAATCATATCTTATGCTTAAGCAAATAATCTCCAAGAAAGAAAAATGGCTCCTTTTCCATATGGACTTTTTCATCAATCTATAAACCACTGTGTGTCACACTAATCCAACCTGAAAAAGCATTTTTTTTACATACACAAGGTAAAATGGCTGTTTGGTTTTAAATACAATGGGAGTAGCTTTATATGATAATGTAACATTCCCACACCATGACATCATCTCTACTTATTTGTAAACACGGTCTAGAACAAAAAACATACAAAATTCACTGACATAAAAAATGCACCCAAATCAACAACCCATACTGCAACATAAATTGACTCCTTAACCTTTTACTTTGTAGGCAGCAGCTGCTCGAACTTCAGCTTCACAGTCTTTAAGTAGGTTCTGAAAGGCGGGGATGAGGTCATTTTGGGTGATTTTAGGACCCACAGCTTTCTGGAGCTATAAAAGAGTGTGCACAGGTTTTAATGCATACTAACAAAATAATTAGCATGAACAAAACAAAATAGCACAACCTTCAGGTATACATTTTTGCCACAAACACTTTTCATTCATAAAAATTAATTCAGAAACATTTGGTACAACAACAAATTTCTGGGTTTCTTGGTTTTCTTCAGTACTTAAAAAAAATGTCAGTGCAATAACTTTACCTCTGAAAATTTATCAGCTACCATATAGCGAACTCGCCAAGATTTATCTTCTGCTGCTTGTCGAAGTGTGGGCATCACCAAAACCTCAAGGTCATCCTGAGACAGTAACTGGGCAATACTGACACAAGCCTCCACAGCTAGCAGGCGCACTGAGTCCTAAAGGGAAAAACGTTTTGCATTAGACAGTGTTTACTGATAGTCACAGGGTGTATGGTGTGGCGCTTGTGGGTGTCATTAACAAACAAACGAACTAACCACACTACATGCAGCTTCATGTTTCTATGTCTTGAAATAGCTGCTCCCTTTGCCTGGAATGATATATCAAAGCTATGAAAGTAGAAACTTATTCTATGAGTAAACAGCAAACTAATTACACTGGCTAGTTCAGAGATTTTGTTAAGAAAAATTAAATGAAAATGTAGAGTGAAAAAAGGAACATTTTAATGTCTTCGAAGCCTCAGTGTAATATGAAGTTGAGACATAAAAATAAAAACTATGCTTGAACAAGTTAATAACAAACCAGGACAGAGTTAAGAGATAAGGATGAGGAATCATTGGAAAGCTCAGTTTTCAAAATACAGGTACCCCTGCTTTTCAAAAGTTTACTCACACAACTTTGTTTTTACAAAAGGCCTAGATTAATGTGTTTTCTCTACTCGAAAGAAATCTGAAAAAGATTTTTGCCTTTACAAAAGAAGGTGAAAAGCTAAATGGCACTTGGCATCTGTTTTGCGTGAGCCATTATAGAAGCAGCACACCTCGAGCACATGCACTGCAAGCTCCTTCCCAGGAACTACACTCAGCACCTCAGCATCAAGATGCCACAGGTTTGAACCATTTCTATGTGCACCTGTGTTTTATCTCGAATTACTCTGTGCATCTGTTAGCAAGATGTATCCCTAAGGTAACTAACTGCTTCTCTGCTTTAAGTTTATGCCATTTGGGCTCACAAAGGTTTCACAGGAATGTTCTACTTTCAGATGGCAGGGGAGGTCTGTACTTAATTTAGAGTCACAATAATAGGATTTAGGCATAAGATGACAACTTGGAAAAAATATAGAAAAAAAAGCAGTATATTTTTTTTAAGTTGGATTTAAAGGTTGAAGATCAAGGACAAAATAACTCTGAGGTAGCCAAGCCTAGAAAAGCATAACAGGAAATAATTAGAAAGCTACAGGATTAACGAACTCAGCTTTCCAAATGTAAACTGCCAAATGTCAATGTAATACCTGTATGTCCTTTGAGTAAGTGGAAATACACAACTAGACGAGTCAGCAAGAAATTAGGAACTTACACTATAAAATTGGAAGTCATAAATACGTAAGCAGAAAGTGAAAATATGTGAACATATTAGTACCCAGGGGAAACAGGAAAAACTTTTATACCTAACTACATATTTATATAGATAAATATCTATATGTATATATAAAACATACATATGTGTTTATATAGGCACACATATACATGAAAGATGACTCAAACTTTCCAAAATATTAGAAAATTTTTTAACTACAGATCAACAATAACTTACTATATGCCCAAGACACTCCCCTATCGATATAAACAGGCTAAAAAAGGCAGAACTAGGTTCTTGGTGGTAGCTATAAGTATTTTTGGATTCCAAAAATGATGCCAAATCAAGGAACTACTATCATCTATGGAAAAATATACAAATACATATTTGTTAAACTAATCAATTACTTCTCTTCCAGAACTGGTTTTCTCCCCTGTACCTGCCCCTCCCCAAATTTTCTCCATCTCAGCAATGACACCACCATCCACCCAGTTGCTCAAGGCAAAAATCATGACCTTCTTGAGGCCTCTTCCCCTCACCCAACCCAATCATGGCTCTGCTAACTCTACTTCCAAATCTATCTCCAGGTTCTCTCCATCTTCACTATACGACCCTGGCTCATCATATCTTGCCTAGATTATTAAACAGGCCTCCCAAGGGGTCTTCCTGTTTCTACTCTCACCCCCTAACTTTACAATTCAGTTTCTACCCAGAAGCCAGAATGATCTTTTAAAAATATAAATTACATCGAGTCACATCTCTGCTGAAAATCTACACCTAGATTTCTACACCTAAAATCTAGGTGTAGATTTTAAGCACCAGCCAAATCTAGGACACAGCTAGGTTGTGTAAACAAAGTTTTACTGGCACACTGCTCAGCAGCTTACATATTATTGTGGTTCTGTGTTACAACAGCAGAGCTAAGTAGTTAGAACAGAGGCTGGCTGGCCCACACAGCCTAAAACACAGAGGTGAGCAAAAATAGGTAGTTGTTCATATGGAAAAAACACATGCAGGTTATTATTACAATAGCTTTATTAACTCTTATTAACTCAAAAGAATGGCACGATGCAACTGTAAACCTACTTTTGCCCACCCCTTATTTACTAGCTGGTCCTTTACAGAAAAAGTTTGCAAACCTCCGACTCTAGATTCATCTACCATTTTGCAGGAAATATAGAGGACAAGGAAAATGTTAAATTATCCTATGGGAAATGTAATCAACAAAATCCCAAATGAGGATCCCAAATCTGCTGTGCAATGTGGTAACCACTATCCACACCTGAAAAGTGGCTAATAATAATGACAATTATTTGGGTATATTGGGTTAAATATAATATTGTTACAATTATTTTCACCTGTTTTTTACTTTTTTAAAATGTGGTTACTAGAAAAATTAGTAGGTAGCATACATTACAGTTCAGTTGGACAGTGATGTTTTAAACTATAATATTTAAGTAATAAAAAATGCAGAGGAGGTGGTAGTTACCGTAAAAGTAAAGTATTAGTTTTAAGGGGGTGGCAAGTGGGGAGCAAAGAGGGTGTTCTGTTGAGGGCTTCAGGATGGGGTAGTGCCTGTCAAAGTTCTGTTACCTTTCATAGACAGAAGTTACGAGATGACATTACCTTATAATAATTCATTAAGTTGTACAGTTTCTGCTGTTTTCTATGTTATTTAATAATTTTCTAAAATTATTTTGGAAGTAAAATTTACCATCTCTAGATTTAGAATCTAAAAATGAGACTTGTCAGTATGTGCCTGGTGCTGACAGTCCTGTACACATGCAAAGCCTCTAGAGCAGACACTAGGCAAAAGAAAAACACAAAAGGACTCTGGCTATAGTCCAGAACTCTGGGGTCTGATCCTCTGAAGCTTGGTACAGAGGCGGGACTGGCTCACTGTGAAGGCCGTGAACTCTGGAGCCAAACTGCCTAGACTCCAATCCCAATTTCACCACTATCAACTAGGCAACCTTGAGTAACTTACAATTCAATATTCTGGGCCTATTTCCTAAAATGTAAAGTGAGATATCTACCTCATGTGCCTGTTGTGAGAACTGGATTACCTTATATATGTAAGGTAAATTCAAACAGGCTAAAATTGATTACATACTTTATTTAGGTGCTTGCTGCTGCTGCTGTTGTTATTATTATTTCTACACCAAAGATCCTTGGGTTGAAAACTACTATTATGGGAGATCATCCTATACACTCACACAGAGGAGCAAGGGGTCAAACAGTTTTCCTAACACTTATTATGCTTGTTTATCTGCAAGTAAAAAATTCCGGGAAGCATTACCCTCCAAATATGATAATCCTGCCTTTAATGGGTGAAGGTACATTATCCCTTAAAGCAGTTTTGTCCTTCATTTTTAATTTTTACTTTCCCATTACCATTTATCCTCCCCATACCCTCTTCCACCTCTACCCACACGCCCGCCCTAATTTTCTTAATCACAGGTCCCATTTCTCCTGGCTTCCCCCTTGTATAACAAATGCCAATATAAGAGAAAATCGGTCTGGTTAAGAAATAAATATAAAGACACTGAAATGGGTCATATTAAATTTCACGAAGGCCAGAATTAAGTATTAATTTTGCAAAAAAAATCCTAACATGAGAACCAAACTCCCCAAAGAAATTGTTAAAATGTTAGAGGAGAGGAACACGTATGTGTACTCTAAATATGGAGGTAACTTACCTGTTCATCTGAAGCTAGATTAGTGAACAATGGAACAATTTCACTTTTCACACTGTCTAATTCTAAAACTTTTGCAAATTCGCCTAATTTGGAAGCAGCAGCTCGGCGTACCATCGGTGTGTCATCTGAGCACAAGGAGCGGAAGTGCCTGGAGCGAATACAATAATGAAGGTACTTCCTGTCAAATACCACTGATTAAACACCCCCAATAAAACACACACATGGCAAAGGTATTTTAGAGGTTTCCTCTTACTAAAGTTGTGATTAGGCTTCTACTCATGGAAGAAACAAAGATAAAATACTGGTATATTCAGCTGGACAATAAAAAGTGATGCCATTAATCCTATTATTCTAGTATCAGCCACCCGTGGTAACAGGCTACTGTGTAAATTGTCAGCTATGAGTTCCCAATAACCCCAAACAACTTAAAAAAAATACCATATCTTACTGTCTAATTTCTGCTTTGACAGTATTTGAAGCCCTGGGATAGCAAACGCTGAACAAACCACATGCAGATGTGCGAGAAGTGAACCAATCCCCACTCGCTAGGCGTTTCACCAGAGGTACAAAATGAGCTTCCAGAGCAACAGGAGTGTGCTCCTGGGATATCTGCCTCAGGGACTCCACAGCCTTGTCTCGAACCACAGTCTCTTCCACGGTCGCCAGACTTTCCAAAGGAGGCTGAATAGACCAAAAGGAAAACCAAAGAACACTGAATCAGGTTAGCTACAGATTATCACCTTTTAAAGTGACTGAAGGGAGGTGGTACATGTAACCAGAATGTTAGCTACATCACACCAAATGGTTAGTTTCAGTTCACACAGTGATAACATATGGTGTGTCCAACCTGGAGACACGACTTCAGTAGGACAGCCAAGATCTCATGTCCCAGATGGCAATGCCCAGATGGTGTCTACAAATGACACAGTGGAAGAGACTCGACACAATATTTAATATTTATTGTGAGCTGAATCACTGGGTTTAAAAGATACTTAGCCAAATTCAGACAGAATCATGCATATTTCCTCAAGAGTAAGTACAAAAACATGACCAACACTGGGTACCACAATAACACAAATGACATCTCACCAGGCCCATGAGTCCACTGCCTTTGGCATCTATCATTCCTAGAGATATAAGCAACCCTTATCCACCAGCTCTACACTATCACCTTATCCAACTTATAAGAGCTCAGTACAACATCACTTTTTTCAGAATACATCCAGAGTCTTTCCATGAGCCAGACATACAGCAGGGGTTTCTAACAAAATAATTAAGGAGTACAGACATGGTAGTAATCCTTGCTTGCTGCTTTAGAAACAAAAAAGACCAAAGGAGTTGTTCTGGTCTAAGATCCGTAAGTGACACCACCCAGTAAAGAGAGAAGTGGCCCATTCTCTCAACCTTATCCTTTCTGGCTTTGTATTCGGTCAGGCAGATTCAGCATATGCCATGAGCTGAATCTGGTCAGTTCTACAAAACCCAGATGTAGAACTAACCAAAAGAGTGAAACAACTATAACAGGTCAAAGGAAATAAGCACATCTACTTAATAATCCATCTCAAAAATTGTCTGATACACAAAGGTAGAACTCAGCTTTCGTAAGAAGGATTTCAAATCCCCTTTGAGAAGATACTGCTTTCTTACTTGAGAAAGTCCCTCATGATCTGCCCATGCCTTCCAACCTTCTCTATGCAGTATCATTATATCATCTCTACCACTACTACAGGATAAGGCCAAATTCCTGAGAAATGCATATGAGTTGTCTCTGGACTGAACTCTGGCTATTTCCCCATGCCATTTTCCTACTGCCTCCTGACCACCACTCCTGCCTATGCCAGCCCAACACTTTATACCCCAGCAACACAACCTGTGTTCAAGCTCCTTCTATAAAGGATTGTTGTTATATTCTAGCACGGAGAGTTGAGAAAAAACAGGAAGGCAGGTACCTTGCTCTAGTGGAGTTTATATTCTAATGGAGGAAGACAACAACTAATCAAGAAAATAATTAGATGGTAATGAGTACTCTGCAAAGAAATACTATAGGATGATGTGATAAGAGGTGACCACATTGGGTGGTCAGGGAAGGCCTCTTTGAGAAGACACATTAAAGTTGGTAATTTCATGACAGAGAGCCAATCACAGGAAGCTCAAAAGGATATTTTATTAGAGAAAATATCTAAGGCAATAGTCTCAAGGAAAGGCTCTGTAAGCTAAGGTACGAGCTAAGGTAGGAATATGATCTTCTAAGAGCCATGGCAGGGAGTGATCCATCTGTGAGATGAAGAGTTAACTGTAAAGGTAGGGGTAGGAGTAGAAGGCAACTAGTTAGGAAGTTACTGCAGGAAGCTAGAGGACAGATCATGTGGTGAGAAAAGACTAGGGGAAAGATGAGCTAGGTAGTAGTGGGGATTGAAAAAAGGGGACTAATTTGGAATATACATAGAATCTACAAGAGTCCTAATGGAGTAGATCTGGAAAATGAGGAAAAGAAGAGTTAAGAACATCTTCTAGGTTTTGGCTTATGCAATTGGGTAGGTGGTGATGCCATTTACTGAGATGGGACAATGACACAAAAGGCCTATTTTGGGGAGAAAAGTGAGTTGTTTTAGGCAGGTTAAATTGAACTGCCTGCCTGATATCCAAGTAGAAAAATCATAGGCAGACACAGAAAGAGACAAACAGCCCTGGCTGGTGTAGCTCAGTGGATTGAGCACAGGTCTATGAAGCAAAGGTCGCCGGTTCAATTCCCAGTCAGGGCACATGCCTGGGTTTCAAGCCAGGTCCCCAGCAGGGGACACATGAGAGGCAACCACAAACATTGTTTTTTCTCTCCCACTCTTTCTCCTTCCCCTCTAAAAATACATAAATAAAATATTTAGAAAAGAAAGGTGTAGCTCAGTGGATTGAGCGCGGGCCTGTGAACCAGACGATCACGGTTCGATTCCCAGTTGGGGCACATGCCTGGGTTGCAGGCCAGTTCCCAGCAGGGGTCTGACGAGAGGCAACCATACATTGATACTTCTCTCCTTCTCTCCTTCCCTTCCTCTCTAAAGATAAATAAATAAAATCTTTTTAAAAAAAAGAAAGACAAACAAGTAGATACATATGAATCTTTCCATATTTATATCTGGAGTTCCGTGGAAAGGTTGGAAGTAAAGACAGAAATCATACAACTCACCATCACATAGACAATATTGAGCCCCTAAGCATATATCCCTATCTTGTCCTCTAGTCATCCTTCAAAACCTACTTCAGACACCAGCTACCAAGAGGTTCTCCCTGATCGCTCTGGGTTAATCCCCTTCTCCTCTTTATTACTTGTGAGCCTTGGATGGGCTTCTAATTTTCCATCTAACACTGCACAGTAATTACTTGTTGACACATAAGGACAGAGACCCCATTCTACTTACAGTGGTCTTCTGCATCAACATTGTAACTTCAATGCCTAATACAGTAGACTCTTAATAAGTGTGTCAATCAAATTGAACAGAACTCATCAAATTCACAAAGTTGGAAGTTATGTTTACAATCAAAGACAGAAAGCTGATATATGTATATAAACATTTCCAAAGTCATGACATTGCTAGATGAGAATTAAGATTTCCAATTTCAGTGGGGAAAAAACCCATAAACAAAAACAATCAAATCTTTCTTCTCCCAACCTCTAAACTAACAAGTCTACAGAAGCAGACAAAAAAAAGAGAGAGAAGTTCTTATATTCATAGTCAGAAAAAATAAGAATGGGTTATCTGAATCCAAAGTGCCTACATTATTTGTTCTCTCCACAGCTAACATTGGGACTCTCCAAAAAAAGATCTGCATAAAAAATGCAATATGTGCCTATCAACAAACAATGAACCACTTATACTGCAAAAGTTCTAAAAGGAGGGTAGGCAGAATATACTCACCAGCAGACAGTGGGCAAAGTCAGGACCTCCCACCAGGCCAGTGAAATTTCCCAGCTGTTCAGCAAGAGCTAACAGTACCTCATCTTCATCATAAATTGTATCTGGAAATAACAAACCAGCACTCATCAACAAGGATAGCTAGCTCAGACCTAGACACTCTAACAAAACTAAGAAGAGACTCAATCAATATGTAACTAGATGGTCCTATCACTATTCCAATAGTGTTTTCTTCCTTCTCCATCAAGAGTCTTCCTGGATCTGTTCTACAGAATGAATTAGAAACTCATAATGCCATATCAGGGCATATTAGCTAAATAGTTAATGACTGAGTATGTCTAATCACATTACAATATGCTCCATCCTACTTCTTTTGCACAAAACCATCAGGCTCAATTTAGTACTCAATACTGTGGGTAACAAATTCTAAAACACCAAGTTTTGAAAGCAACTGGAAACGGTAATGCCTTTGCCTTTCCTTAAAGATTCACATACCTGTAAGAAATGGCAGCAGTTCAGTTCGCGTCCTTTCCACTCCAAGTGCTAGAGCAATTGTTGATAACTTCTTAATACTGTTGAGACGGAGCTTTAAAAAAGAAAGTGGAAAGAACAAACTAAAGAAACAGTTGTGATTTAGACCAAAGGCAAAAGTTGCAAACTGGTAATGATAAAGAAAAACCTTCAATTTAGAATGTATTATACGAGGAAACTCAGGAGCAGTATAGCATGGCTTCATTAGCCAAAGGAAGATTTCTCAGGAGAAACACTCTAAAGGGCCCATTAAAGAAATGAATGAAAGACAATATAACATCCAAGAAGTGAGACAATCTTAAAAAGAGAACTTTTGGCAGTGGTGAGCTGGGGAAACGGTTGACTACAGCTCCTGCCTTTTCAAAGAGGAGTTCTATGAGGGCTGACACACCGGCTCCTCTAGGTTAATTAGACATCCCACCCTGGTCCTACCCAACAAGCCGGGCCAGTTTCCCAGACGAGAGGAAAGCATTCATACCCCTGCACTTCCCAGGGGCCCCTTGCCGCCCTCCCGCTAGCTCCTGAACTGGGAGGACCGGAAAAGGTGAACCCACCGCACCGCCCGGAAGATGCGCCCAGGCGCAAAGCCAGCTCTCCCACAGCCGCCCGGGGTCGGAGGAGGGGTGCTGGAGAGATCCCTGGGAGGTGAGGGCCGAGCACAGGTCTTTACCTTCTTCCCAGTTTTCGCCAGAGTTGGGTCTTTCAATTCCCGGGCCTGCCCCATCTCGATGCCGGCCTTCACCCTTCCCTACCAAGCGCCCGACCGAGCCCGTTCCCTTTACCCAGCCTGACTCCAGTACCTGCACGTCCTCATTGCGGAGTTCGTCTATTAAAACTGCGATCGGATAAAGTGAATCGTCTCCATCTCCGCCCGCTGCCCCCGGGACAGTCCCGGGCGCCGCCGCGCCCGCCATGTTCTTTCTCCTCCTCCTGGTCACCGCGGCCTGCCCCGCACTGAGGCCCCGCCCCACACTCAGGCCCCTCCCCGCACTCAGGCCCCGCCCCGCGCCTACGTAAGCAGGGTTGTGGCCGGGGTTCAGTCTTCGCTGAGGTTGGGTGTTCCAGGCTTTGCCAGGTTGGTGGGGGCATGACCCAGGCCCCGGTTGCGGTAACTGTAGGTCTGAGCTCCAGAAGAAAGGTGGGCTGGGGAAGCGAATGAAGGCCCCGCATCCTCTCCCCTGCCGAAAGAAACAGGGGCAAGGACTTATCCGGCTCATGATTGGTCTGAAGAGGTCAGCACCTACCTACTTCAGTGATCCCTGTTCTCTGACCTCTTAGGACTCAGGCGACCAAAGAGGATGCTCAAGGCCAGGAGGAAGAAAGATTTAGCGCCTCCCCTGCCTTTATCCTAGCCCTGAGCCACTCGTTTTCCCACTAGCCTCAAGCTTCCAAAGAACCCCTCCACCCCTTCCTTCTGCCTGTGAGCCAGAATTGTGTATCTGACTACTGCTCCATAAGACAAATAACACTGGCGGTGAGAAAACAGTGCTGTCCAAACTCCCTAGTCAATATTTTTTCTGCTTTCAACATGCAAGCTGTTAAAAACAGGCTGCTCTCTTGTTTTGGTGTTTCTTTTCAGTTTGGGACTGGAATGGTGCCTTCTGTTGTATTTTCTTCCTCCCATTTTTTAGGTCTTTAGCATGCTTAGAAGTACAACAATTAAGCAAAAGTAGGGCAAGCTTGAATCCTTCCAAATTGGATGGGGTGGCTGTACAAGAAAGGCTAACCTAGCCTCCCTGAACTCCAAGAGTCGTCAAGGCAGCACTGGGAGGAGTTGAGGGGATGGAAGTCTTTCTTACAAAACGTAATGGAAAGTTTTTATTTAACCTTGTCAGTACAGCACAGAGTAACTACAATGTCCCGTCTTTTCTATTTGTTTTGGACTATAAGTAGCTTAGAATGGTAACCACAAATAGTGATCACAAGCTTTAAAATGCAAATTCGGTGTGTCTGATTAATAGAAATGCAAAATTATTAATAAATGCAATTAGGAGGGTTTTTTTTTTCTCCAAACCTGGGGTTTCTAGAAGAAACAAACTAGACAGGGTGTTCTATAGTTGTGGAAGTTCTGGAACCAATGGACCCGAAAAGTATTTCTCAAATTAAGTCTGTGGATGTATTCTCTAAGGTTTTAATTTTCTTTTTCATTTTAACAATATTTTTTTGGATTTCCATAGTATGTTCTGGATTATCTGAATGACCACTTTGTAATCCGGTGTTGCCCCACTATTTCAGTATCTACATTTGCAGGTGTGTTTCAGTGCTGCTTTTATAGTTCTGAGATAATGAGAAAAGAACAGAGGTAAATTTAAAATGAAAATACTGTTTTCATGAACAAAATGAAAGCCAAATGACGTGACGGGACTAACAGAAGTAGTGAGAAAAGAGAGGCATCATAGGTCACTTGGTGGCACATTGAACTCAGAAAAAAAGCTGAGCTTTTTGACAGCAATGTCATAGCCACAATACGAGGGATAATTTCTCAGCGAAGTACATCATTCGTCATGTTAAAACATTATAATATCAAAATAGTTTTGTGGTTTCACTTGGATTTCATTTGTAAATCTATTTTGGTGCTTTAGCTGTAAGAGAACTAGAAATAAAAGAACATTGTATTTTTTCCTGGCCAGGGGGTTCAGTTGGTTGGATCATCTTCCCATGCACCAAAAGTGTTGTGGGTTCAATTCCTGGTCAGGGGTTGTAGGAGGCAACCTATGGATGTTTTTCTGTCACACTGAGGCTTCTCTCCCCCTCTCTCTCTCTCTCTCTCTCTTCCCCTGCCTCTCTCTCTAAAATTCTAAAGTCAATAAACATATCCTCAGGTTAGGATTTAAAAAGAAAAACATTTTCTACTTTATATTTATAAATTTAAGTAACATTGTAATAAATAATTTACAATGAGAGTTTTCAAGATTTTTTGTCTTTAGAAATAGATTGAAATACTACTCAAGTTTGAGAAACAGGGAATTAAGAGGTTTTTTGATTTAGTACTTAACCAGTTAGAAGATCAGAGAGCATTCATATTGGAATGGGAAAGAGGAACCTGTTCCCTTACACTTTATGTTAAGAGTCTTCAGAAATAATTAAGGAAGCAAAGGCAGAGAGAAGCACGTTAAGTCATTTCCATACCTATCAACATCTAGATATTAGCTCAAACTTAGATGAGCCTCAATGTGCTAAACAAAAATTACCACACTGATGCTAAACTCTTTTGTTTAAAATTAAAATATGCTCTGCTTACCCAAGCACAATTAGTTAGACACCTAAGGAATAACTATGATTAAATATGAAATCACAAGCTGAGAAAATAGGCCCCAGAAAATTGCCTGGTTTGAGAGTCATTGATTCTAGGCTTCAGTTCCCATCGTGGTCTCTGACTCAGTGTGACCTGCCTCTCTCTCTGCCTCAATCCCAGCTCCCACCCACTCACTCCCAGTAAAATGGAGCTCACCACCTCTGGTTTCCTCTCTGGTACAGTGATGATGTGAGAATGAAGCAGGCAGTAAATATGGAGATGCTAATAAATCCTTCAATAAAGAAAGTGATTAAAACAAACATGACAGCCAAAAGAGGCTACAGTATTTCAAAAGATGAGCAAATGGAAACCGGAACAAAATCTAAGACAGTCTTTGGGGAGTGTGGCCCACTGACTGAATCACCTAAGATGCTTGTTTTAAAATGCAGATTCCTCCCCTGGCTGGTGTAGCTCAGTGGATTGAGCATGGGCTATGAATCAAAGGGTCACTATTTCGATTCCCAGTCAGGGCACATGCGTAGGTTGCAGGCCAGGTCCCTAGTGGGGGCCCTGTGAGAGGCAACCACACATTAATGTTTCTCTCCCTCTCTTTCTCCCTCCCTTGCCCTCTCTCTAAAAATAAATAAAATCCTTTAAAAATAAATAAATAAATAAATAAATAAATAAATAAATAAATAAATAAATAATAAAAGGCAGATTCCTGTCCTCCACCCCAGACCTAGTAAATGAGAATCCCCAGTAATGGGGTGGGACACTTTACCATGCATCCCAGTGATTCTAATATACACTGATGTTTAAAAGTCATTGATTTTAAAAGTTCATCTGGAAAAGTAATTTCCATGTCAACAAAAAGGCATCTTCTGCTCAGGGACAGCCTCTGTTCAGAAAAAGTAAATGACAGCCACAACTACTTATTGATAAACAACTCTGTCCTGATTGACTGTGGTTTTTGCCAGACTAAAGTGATCCTCTTTTGCTGGATTCCTGGAAGTCAGCTAAGTACTGCAAGTATAGAACTGTGACACTGATCTGTCTCCACACCCTCTTTTCTTCCCTATTGCTCCTGTGGTCTCTCTGCCTCCCACACACACCCAAGAAACTAATGACAAGAGAGCGCTTCAGGCAACAGCTGAGATTAGGTTGAGGATTTAAGGCAGCCCAAGGGGAAACAATGTGACATTCTCAGCACAAAGGCACTGGGTTCTGACACCTACATACAGTTCACTCATTCAGTGAATCAAGGGAAGACAGGGTCAGACTTGCCCAGTTCCTGTGAATGTGGAGAAGCACAGGCAGATGGGATCAACAGCCATCAACTTCTGTGCTTGTATCAGCTCTCCGCTCCACAGAGAAATGGTCAGTTCTGAGCAAGGCTGAATGTCATCATTGTTGTGCTCTCCAGCCATTGCCTCGCATGTATTGAGCTTGCCTCTCCCTCACAGTGCATGAGAGAATCCTGTGTGTAAGTGGCTCTCTCAGGGCAGACCCGGAAGTGTTGTCCCATTGAAAAGACAAAGCAGTGGGTGCTCTAGTTCATGCACAGAAAATGTAAGCACACTCAGGCATTTTCCAACTATCTTCATTTAGTAAGATGACTCTGGTAAACAGATGATCAGGTCTGGATTTAATTCATTACAAAGTAGTAATTATCACCATTAATGATATTTCGAATTTCTTTTTATACGAAAAGGTCTTCATTCTGTGGGACTCAAATATTTTCCCCTCAACTTCACCTCAATATTTTACATTCTTTCTCTTCTCTGTTTTGTGGCCAAAGTTTAATGCCATTTTTATGGCTAAGAATACCTGACAGAGAGAAAGAGACTTTACCTGGAGTCACAATGAATCCAAAGAAACTGTGAATCTCATAATCAGGTATTATCACTACTTCTTGCTTCATCCCCTGCCTCCATGCTATAATATATATGTGTGTGTGTGTTTACTATATACACACATATATATATTTCAAGAGCAAAACTTTGCTTGAATTCTTGAATTCTTGGGAAAAGCCAATCAAAGAAATGGACAGTCAGTTCTAACGCAGGAAAGTGTATACAGTGATCTAGACTGTATACATTGGAGTCAGGACGACCTAGACTGACATCCCAGCTCTAACAATTGGTTGTGTGATTTGGGGCAAACAACTTATCCTCTCTGAATCTTGGTTTCTGCATCTGCACAGTGGGGCTGTGAGTGTGGTTTCTAAGGTTAAATTCATATACAGTGCTTAGAGTAGTGGATGACAAGAGTAAGGCCTCAAACATTAGCCATGAATAGTTATTATCTACTGAGGAATTAGAAGCAGGTAAGAAAACATTCCAGTCAATTGAGCTTTGGCAACCAAGAGGACCAGTGTGAAAGAATGAAAGGATTAACTGATTTAGAATCAGAAAACCCAACTCCAGGCCTTTCAGAGTTTTTCTCATTGGTAAAACAGAGGTAAACTCTTACCTTACTTCTCTCTCTGGGGGTTGCAAAGTTCTCTGTAAATAGAAAGCATTGTACAAATGTTAGAAGTTCTGTTATTGATTACCAAGAGCTCACTGAATCTGGTGCCTAAAACAAATACAGAAAGACAGTACCTGAAGACCTAGCTCATGGTGTGCGGGCCCCCAACCACCCAAGAACAGAATTAGCACTTCTAACCACAAGGGCATATTTAAGCTACCACAAACCTAGAGATCAAACAGTCTTAGCCTCC